CCGGCGCGTCCTCCAGGGCGGGGCGGGGTGAGGGGGGGCGGGGCGGGGGGGGGTAGTTCCGAAGGGGGCGAGGCGGGTGTCGATGGCGCAGGGGCTTTTGCTATATCACACCCCTCATCTCACTCCGCCGCCCTGCGCAGCGATCGGTCATTGTGTCCGAGGACCCCCGCGACCCCCCGCCCGCCTGGTGCCCGGCCGGCGCGGCCCAAGAAGCGCCCTGGACGAGGGGTGGGGGGCGGTGGGGTGGGGAGGAGGGGGAGGTCACGCATGCAGAAAAAGGCGGCGTGCCCCCCTAACCTAATTTGGGGCCGGCAATGTGGCAAAACATGGCGGCTAATTAAGCGAGGCGAGGATGGCGAGGATGGCGAGGCTGGCGAGGCGACGGCGCGGCGGGCGTGACGGATGGGGTAATGAGACGCGAGGGCGGGGCGGGGCGGGGCGGGGCGGGCGGAACCAGCAGGTGAGGAGCCAAGTCGCGGAAATAGTGCGTAAAATTGGTACAACATCTAATTTTGGCTTTTGACAGAGTTTATTGAAGTCAAGGCTTTTTTCTTTTCGCTGCTCCATTCTGGCGTCTGGCTTTACATGACACTCGGGCAGGACAGAAGCTAGTGAGGCGGCGAGTCGGACGAACGTTGTGACACTGTGGGGGTCGTCCGTCAACGCACTGCCGCCCCGCCCCGCCCCGCCCCGCGCCGTTACGACCGGACCGCGTCTGTCTCCAGACTCCTCTCTCCGCCGCGCTGTCGGCGGTGCTGCCCCAGTGGCCGCCTTCGCCCTCACTGGCCCGAGTGGCGTCCGCTGTCCGCTGTCCCCGCTGTCCGCTGTCTGCTGTCCGCTGTCCGCTGCCCCCGCTGGCCGCGATTTTGAGAAGCAGCTCGTTGCGGCCGCGTACTAATGCCGCCGCCCCGTCCACCGCGGGACTGGGGGACTGCAGGCGGCGGTTCCGCACAACAGTAGTAGTTGGCAGCCCTGCCTCTCTCGCACCCTTCCGGGACGCCTCGTGAGTGCGAGACGGCCGGAGCGGCGAAACCCCACGCGGACGGCGCGACGGCGAACGGGCAGCAGCCGGGCGCCTCGCCCCGCCTCGCCTCTCCCCGACAAATGGCGTGTCTCGGCCGGCAAGCGCTGATTGCTGCCCGCCTCGTCCTCGTCCCTCGCTCGCTGCTCGTTGCGGGTTCGCCGCGTTCGCCGCGTTCGCCGCTACTCTCCCGGACCCACTTTTAGCCGCCTCTGCCAGCCGCGGCCCTGGGTCCCTGGGTGGGCCTGGGTGGCCCATCCCCATTGTTCGGTTTTCCCTTTCCCCGCCGTACCGGCCGCGAGCCCCAGCCGGGCCCAGCCGGGCCGCGGTCCAGACGGGCAGCGAGGGGCTGCTGCTGCTGTTGCTGCTTTTGCTGCTGCTGTTGTTGCTTTTGCTACTGCTGCTGTTGCTGCTACTGCTGCTGTCGCGGCGGCGGCATGCCGAGTGCCTCCAAGTGGATGCCCTGCTTGTCCGCGGCACCAGCCACCCGCGTGCACCCTCCCCTCCCCTCCCCTCCCCTGCCGCTGAAGTCCGCCGCCGACTGCAACGACGGCAGCCCTGCCACGTGCCGCCCGATCAAAGCAAGACCGACCGACCGCGCGGCGCGCGCGCGCGCGTGGGAAGGGACCCACATTCTGGCATTCTCTCTCCAAAAAAATGCAATGCATGGAAAACTAGTGTGTCATCCCTCGGACATTTTTCCCGGTCACAGCCGAGATGGTTTCCGGCGTTCTTTTCAGCATACGAAACACACATACACACACACTGACGCGCGCGCTCCCTCTCTACTGTCTCCACACACACAAGCGCGCGCGCGCACACACACACACACATTGCCGTCACACGTCCCGCTTCCTTTTCAGAATGGGAAGCAAGGTCCGCCATACACTGGCATCGCGCCCTCGCGGTCTGCCGGGCCGTGCCGTGCCGGCCGTGCCCATGTTGGCACAGTCGCCGTCGAACAAACACCCCCGCGCTGCGTGCTGCGCGCTCCAAGCCCAAAGCTCGAACGCCTTCCGGTTGTTTTTCAATTCCCGCCATCATCGTCCCCGCCGCTGCTCCGCTGCTCCGCCGCTCCGCTGCCGCTGGGCTGCTGGGCGGCGAGCGCCTGCGAGGTAGGCAGCGGCGGCGCGTGCGACGCAGCGGTGCGTTGCGGGTCTCCTCCGTTGCCTACCTCGCAGGCGCTCTCGCCCTTGACTTGCCGTCGCGGCGTGCTCCGCTCGCTGCCGAGGCTGGCGGCCTGGCCCTGGAGGCCCTGACGGCGGCGCGCGGCCGATCGCTGAATGTGCAGCCCATTGTGCACCATTGTGTGCCCCGGGTCCAAGGCCGCGGCCGCCGACGGCCGACGGGGAGGGTGGGCGTCGGGCGCCGAAGCCGCGGGGCGCCGAGACCCCCAGCCGAGACCGGGGCCGCAACCCAGCGGCCATTTTCCGCCTCTCCGCTAATCGACAAGTCCCCTCCCGTCATCGCCGACGATGCCCTGGCGCTGCAGCCGGCCGCTGCGGCCTCCCCGGTGCAGCGCCCCGCAGTGCCCCGTGTTCATTTCGCCCCGGACAGCGCGCCGCCGGCACTGCTTAGTCGACACTGGCTCACACTTGATTGATTCCCTCGGAGCGCTGGTGTCCCGGGGCACTGGCTGGCGCGTCAACATCTCGGGCTGTGGCAGCGAGCCGAGGCCGGGCGAGCCGGTGGAGGCGGCCAAACTCCGATGCGTTTGAGCTCCAGGTCGCAATGGGACTCGAACCGGCGTGTGACCCCAAATGGATTGCTCTCCCGACGAGGAACCATTGGGGGGTCACATGTGTCTCGGGCACTGTTCAGCGACTCTGGAGCTCAAAACGCGTCTAGAGTTTTGGCCGCCTCCACCGGCTTCTGGCCCACTGTGCGAGGCCGGGGCGGCCCGGGGTGCGAGGCGAGGCGGTGACGCGAAGACGATCCCGGTTATTGGTGGCGGCAGCACTGGCGGGAACTGGAATCGCCAAATCGGGGCGCTGCGCCTGGCCGCTCCCGATGGACCCCACCAACCCCACGACGCAGCCGAAAAGGCCAATCTGGAAGAGGAGCTGCTCTGGACTCGGCGACTCGGATCGAAGCCTCAGGAAGGCGCACGACTAATCGGCGGCGAGGCCCTGCCGGCCCTGCCGGCCCTTGCCACTCCGCGGGGACACTCACCGAGTCGCTCCAACCCTTGACCAGGAACCCTCGACAAAGAAACCCTGACAGAACAACCCACAGCCGTAGTCCTTGACCGTAGAATCCTTCGCCAGGGAGCTTGACCAATCCTCGACCAATCACCGGCGTTGCGTCCTTTCCAGAGGACCCTTAATCAGGGAAGCCCTGGCAGGGGCGCCGGTGTGCTAGCCAAGGTGCTACAGCCGGCCCGGCCGAGGGCAGGACAGGGCGGCGCGGGAAGCCACGGTGTAGCCGCTGCACCACCTCCGGCGGTAGTATACAGCACACAGATTCACTCGAGGAGAAAAACTCCGGCGACGATCTCTTCTCGTTCTGCGGGACGTCGACCAGCAAGGAGGAGAACGGGAGCTATAGCGTGTGTGCGTGTGCGCGCGCGCGCGTGCGCGTGTCTGTGTGTGTGTGTGTGTGTGTGTGTGTGCGCGCGCGCGTGGGCGAGTAGAATGAGAAAAGCCCGAAGAGAGGACGCAGCAGCCGCGCGCGTGCCGCCGGTCGCCAAATGAAAATACTGCCCGGGCGGCATATTGCATTCGCTGCGCGGGGGAGGGGGGGGGGGGAATCCGGTGGGCGTGCAGGGCGAGGGGGTTGACGGGGCGCCGGGCGTGTCCAAGCCCTAGCGTCAGCCTCCCCGCCGCCGCCGTGGCCTCGGTACGTGCGCAGGGCGCAGGACGTTGAGGCCCACGACGACACAACAGCTGTCTCCTCCACTGCACATTCCCCTTTCGCCCAGCATCACGCAGCCGCGCAGACCTGCCGTGCAGACCTGCCGTGCGGGCGTGGGAGGTGTAATGATCTCGAGAGAAAGAGCGGAAAAGAAAGCAGATGAAACGATTAAGTTTTTGTTCAAGCAGAACGGCAGAGGAGCGGCAAACAGTGGAGAACGCGTGGGTCCCAGTGCATCGGCGATTTCGGAACACGACGAAGAGTAGAGCGTCAAAGCAACGCTGCGTCGGGACAAACCGCACTCGGCACAACACTCGTGGTGGTCCACGGTAAACTGCCGAGTTCTCCTCCAACCGATGCCCGCACCCGCATCATCCACCCTCACTCTACCCACACTGCCGCCCGCCACCTACCGCTAGAGCCACACCAATAAAATTTCGACCACAAGTTAGTGTTCTTAATGAGGGGTCATTAAATATCAAAATACGCGAAAAAATGACATAAATTCATTTGGCTTTTGACCGTCTGCTGAAAATGGTCTAACCCGGCCGGCGGGACACCTCTGCCGTGGCAACTTTACTGAATCTGCAGCGCAGTCTTTTCCGTCCGTCAAGCAGCGCGCCGCGCAAAGTCACCGAGCGTCCCGGCCGCCTCTCCGCCTGATTAAACTCAAAATGATATTCGCGTCCCGTTGGGGTGGGGGAGGAGGCGGGGGGAGGGAGGAGGAGGAGGAGAAGCGGGAAGGGAGGGGGAGGAGGCATTGCATTATGTGCCACGGGAATATCGCTGGGAATCCGATGCACAAATCACAGCGAAGAGGACGCGACCAATTCCATTAGCGCAAACAAGGAGAGATATACGGTGCAGTCGCCCACGCCGCAGCGTCCACCACTAGTGCGTGTGCAGCCTGCGCCAAGTCTGTCGGGAGTGGCGCCTCGACCTGCATTTTAATTACTCGACTGGCGAACAATTCTAGGTTAGAGCAATGTGCCACGGCACGGGTGGAGCTGCATCCGGCTGCATCCGCCTCCGCACAGAGGGCCAGAGGACCGGTCGACCTCTGGCCCACTGTGCTCTGCCCACCACTACTACTGTGACGACCACGACGTGGACGCCCTTGTTGCAGACCGTGTCCGTGACGGTGTCCGTGCTGACCCTCACCTTCATCTCCGTGGACCGCTGGTACGCCATCTGCTACCCGCTCAAGTTCAAGTCCACCACCAGCAGGGCCAAGAAGGCCATCGGGCTCATCTGGGCGCTAGCCTTCATCTTCGGTACGGTTCCTTCTCAAAACCCTCATTCGAAGATTCATACGAATTGACGAAGCTGCGGTCTGCAATGGCTGCGGAGTCCACGAGGTTCCGTGGCATCGTGTCTCACGGACAGAGAAAACGAATTTTTCGTTGAGCCGACGGAGATTGCTTATTGTGCCAACGACTTTTTTTGTGCCAATAACTATTTTTGTTGTCTTGATATGAACAGATTTGTTTGTTGCATCAAAGAATTTATTCGCCGTGTGCCAGTATCTTGCGTGGAACTAGTTTAAGTAGCGGTAGAGTAGACTGGCCGGAACCGCGGAGATGGTTTCCCGATCGGCGATTGGCTGTATCGCTTCGCCGCCACGTCGAGCAGGGCTTCCGTCTGGCTGGCTGGCCGCGGCGGTAGCGACCAATCGGCGGCGCGGAAAGCGATCCCCGTACTTCCGGTCGGTCAAAGGCGTCTAACGAGAGCTGGGCTGCGCAGACTCGCCCGAGGTGTTCGTGCTGGAGACCAAGAAGAAGGAGCTGCGGGTGGACGTCATCTACTTCACGCAGTGCCAGCCGTCCTGGGGCGACAACATCGACACCGCCTTCCACGTCGTCAAGACCTTCATCCTCTTCTTCTTCCCGCTGGGCTTCATGACGGTGGCCTACGTGCAGATCATCCGGGTGCTCTGGAGCAAGAGCAACATCCCGGGCCACGCCGAGTCCAAGAGCGTGTACGCCAACAGCAACGGCAACGGTGGGTGGCGGCGGAATGAAGGGCGAGCCGCCACGCGGTGCACGCCGTGCACGCAGTGGGCCAGAAGACCGGTGAAGGCGGCCCAAATTCTAGACGCGTTTTGAGCTCGCGAGTCGCTTAACAGGACTCGAACCGCACGAGTGACCCCAGCAATGGATTACCCTCCGAACTAGGAATCCATTGGTGGGGTCACACGTTCGGTTCGAGTCCTGTTCAGCGACTCTGGAGCTCAAAACGCGTCTAGAAATTTGTCCGCCTCCGCCGGTCTTCTGGCCCACTGTGCGCCCCACTTCCGACGGGCCTAACGGGTGTGTCTGTCGCAGGGGTGCCGGCCGCGCGGCGCACCATGAACCGCAGCATCTCGTCCAGCTCGCAGGTGCTGGGCCGCAGGAAGGCCGCCAAGATGCTGGTGGTCGTGGACATCATGTTCGCCTGCTGCTACCTGCCGGTGCACATCTACAGCATACTCAGGTATGGGAAGGAACTCGACCTAAACACAATTCGCTTCGCACCTGATGCACACGTTTGTTTGTGACGGGCTCCATTTGTCACAAGAAAAGACCAGCGGTTTGTACGTTCGCGGTAGAGAATACTCGGAAACGCCTCCAAAGGACAATGGCGCGCTGAGGAAACTCTTTGTAAGTATGCCTCTATTCTTTCCCGCGTATTCCAAGCGACGCTGGCGCGGCCACGGCCAAGGCCCTCCAGGGGGGGTCGCCGTTGGCTGCCGTTGGCTGCCGTTGGCGCGCCCGAGACATGTCAGACACGTCAAGACGCCACAACGGGCAATATCATTCGCACGTCACGGCGAAGGGGTGGCCTTCATGCACGGCACACGGCCCAGTGCGTGGCCGCCTCGCGCGTCCGAGGCTGTCCGAGGCAGCCGAGTCCGCCGTTTCATCGCTCTGTCTCTGTCGCACTCATGGGACTCTCCATAAGTCCACGAGAGAGAGCGACAAACTTCTCAATCGCTCGGCAGTCAAAGGGGGCGGCCTGGTGGCCTTCAGGCTCGCCTCGCCTAGCTTCGCCCACCTCGTTTCCTTGTACAGTGCAGTGCGGTACAGTGCGTTTGACCTTGAGCCTCCTTCTGCCAGGTACACGGTGGTCATTCCCCAGACGGAGGCCACCACCACGTTCGCCATGCTGTCGCACTGGCTGTGCTACTTCAACAGCGCCATCAACCCACTTATCTACAACTTCATGAGTGGTGAGTGCTGCCGCATTATGCCCATGGCATACTCCTGGCAATCCTCGCACAGAACCGCGAGGCGGGGAGTGCGCGTTTGAACGAAACGAGGAAAAAATAATCGAATCGCCTGACCATTTGGGACTAACTGGCCCATGCTTTGTTCGTCGACTGGGACATGGGCGGAGAATGAGCCCGCTAGAACTCAACCTTGAAAGTCCTTCGGCTTTTGGCCTGGCAAAAACTAGTTAGTTCCCTCTGGCGCGCGGTCCCGCCAAAAGTGTATCGACAGGCATACCCCGCGCGCCAGGGGCTGCGGCTGAAGCACGGGGTATGGGCAGACTCCCCAGACGCCGTGCTCGCCCCGGGCCCTGCCATGCCGCCTTGCCGCCTTGCCGCCTTGCCCTCCCCGCGCCGTCACGACAGCTCTGTACTCCGTACGCACGCCGGAACCCGCAGCGGCTTTCCTGGGGCAGACCGCGCTCAAGTCTCCTTGCGAACAGCGCTTCCTGGTTCTTTCTCTCTCGCACCCTCACGGGGCGTTCCGCGGGTGCGGCACAGACGGAAGCCCTGTTCGGAACGAGCCTGACGCTGCGCTGCGCCGGGGCGGTGCCAGGCGGTGCCAGGCGGTGCTTGGCGGTGGTTCACTGTAAATCCTGTCCTGGCGCCCGCCGTTGCCGTTGTCTGCCGCAGTCGACGCAGTCTGACGGCTCCGTTTGTCCGCAGGTAAATTCCGCGAGGAGTTCCGGCGTGCGTTCCAGCAGTGCTGGTGTGAGGCGTGGGTCAAGGGCGGCGACGCGGTGCGGCCCGTGGGGGCGGAGAGGCCGTCGGGGAGGCCGTCGGGCCGCCACGTGTCCATCAACATGGCCCACTTGCGCGCCGCCCCCGCCGCCCCCGCCACCCCCGTCGCCGGTGCCGGCCCTCCTGGACCCCGCCGGTGCGCCGCCGCCGGCGCCGCTGCCCTCTCCACGACCACCCTGGCCGCCACCGCCGCCACCGCCGTGTCCGTGTCCGTGCTCGAGGCCGACGCCTGACGGCGGCCCGGCGGCCTGCCCGACCGACTCGCCCCCTACCGGACCCAGTGGTAGAACCGGTAGAACGAAGCCGGCCTCGGCTCGGTGCACTTCGCAACGCAGTAGTCACTGCGTTGCTCCTGCGTCACACGCCAGGGGTGGGACCGCAGCACGCCGTGGTGTGCGCTGTGCGCCGCAACCCTGCCTTCCTCAAGAGCCTCTCGAGTCGTGTAGTGCCATTATCTTATCTTGCTCAATGGATCGGAATTTTTTTACTGCAGGTTTGACTGTTGTGTGGCCAGGCGTGATGGTACTTCCCTCGTCTCACTTCCATTCCAAAGTGGTAACTCAAAGTTGCAATTTCAACGTTAGTGTTGATAAATAATGACCCAGATCTCTAGCGTTACCATGTAGATTCTATATATGTGTGTGTAAGTGTGTGTTTAGGCCCCAGCCTCCACCTGTCGTTTAATGCGCAAAGCCTTTAGTTGCGTTTAAGTTAGTGACGTATCAGTATAGAAGACATTTTAAAGTCCAGTATTATAGATTTATTGTGAACGTGGGTTGTGTAATTCTGGTTGTAATTCCTTCTAACTGCCTTATTACGAAATGGGATGGCCGCTAAAACAACCAACAGAGAACACCTTGAAGACGCCTAATTTGTCTCCTGACAATGCGTCGCGCCTCGTTTCTCTTGCCAAAAGGAGTATGTATTAGTTTTATTTGTAGTATGGGACCTGCTGAATATATGTGATGTTTCGTTTTTATTCCAGAGTTTGCCTCTTGATTTACGTGGATAGACGAAAGGTGATTAGATGTTCTAGAGTGTTGGTGCGAGTCCTGCACGACATATTCCCCCGTAGCGACCTGTCCGGACGTTGCGATGTGTGGTGCGAATAGAATGTCCAGATCCGACAATCGGACAGTAAAGGAGATGACGCCAGCATATCAGTGTGACGGTGTTCTAACTTGCCGTCAGTTTTGAATTTCTCAATTTTCGGTCAATTTTACCGTGGTAAAGAAAAGGGGGGAAAGAACGAAAAAACAGAAAGAAAATATTTGTAGATCGCGTTATTATTGTTTTATTTGAGCATTGGGCTAATAGTTTTTATACCTTAAGATTTTCCAAGAAATTCCAAATACTTCCAACACTGTGACTCTTTGAGGAGCTTGTTTTGAAATCATCAGAAGCCAAAAAATAGCGCGTCATATTTTTTTCTTAAATATTTTTATCCTTTAATAAATACGTACAAACAATCAATATAACAAGAAATGATATTTTTGTACAAGACGATTGTAATATAAGGAAAGAGATGGAGAGTTGTTCGGAGTTGGTGATTGTTCGATAGCCGCGGTGTGCACGTGTGCAAACTGTTTAACGCATTCCATTTGTGAGCAGTATTATGGACACTACTTGTAATTGACCGGCTTTTGGATTGTGATTCTTTTTTTTGGTCAAATGAACGTTTCTTTGGTGCAGCTGGAATCTTTATTTCCCCCTCCCCCTCCCCGGCGCCCTTCTGCAAGCCCCTCTGTTGCAGGCAAGTTCAGGAAGGAGTTCGCCGGGGCCTTCCGCTGCTCGTGCGCCGCCAGCCGCCTGTTCCGGCGCCGGGCCGTGCGCGGCTCCGCCAGAAGGTACTCGTCGTTCTCGTTCTCGTGACTCACTGTCTTGCCTCGCGCCCCACACTGCAAGTGCCTCGTCTGTCTTGCCGCAGGAACGAGGACTGTTCGCCCAGCACCCCCAGCTCGCCCCAGGACACGCGCACGGAGATGGTGCCGCTGTCGTACGTCGTCAACTTCGAGGGCGGCGACGACGACGACTAGCTGCCCGGCAGCTAGCGCCGCGGCCGACAGTGGACACAAGCAACACTCGAGCAATAATAAAGAGATATTATTTGTACTTGTCTTTGTCACTTCGCGAGATGGCGTTTGTTGTCCGTGCCTGAACACTCAGTCTTCAAAAGTTTCGCTGGGAGACGACTCCGACCGCCAGTCAGCGGAAGAGCGCGGCGACGAGGCCCAGCACCAGGACCGCGGAGGACGCCGCGGAGGAGCTGGCCGCGTTGGGCTTGGCCACGAAGGGCACCACGCCCGTGTCGGCCAGGTCGATCCAGAACTGCGAAGACGGCTTGAGGGAGCGCGTCAGGGTGCCGTCCGTGCCGTTACCGTAGTCGACGTGCACCAGGCCGAAGGGGCGGCTGCGGACAGGAGGGCGCGTCAGCCACACCTCGGCAACACTCGAGTCTCACGTCAGTATGACGTCATCGACGTCACGGCCAGGGCCCGCTTCACAGTGTACCCGCCGCTTACCTGAAGCCCGCGCTCCACTCGAAACTGTCGATCAGGCTCCATGCGCAGTACGCGATCACTTTGATGTTGAACTCCTTGATGGTGGAGACCATGGTGCGGAGGAAGGCCTGCGGTGCGATAAGGATGGTCAAGGTCAAGCTCGCGGTGCGTGAGTGTGGGTGTGTGTCTGTGGTGTTGGGGGGGGGGCACTGACGCGGTACTCACACTGAAGTAGGGCGCGCGCAGCTCGTCGTTGGAGCCGCCCAGGCCGTTCTCCGTCACGATGAGGGGCTTGTTGTAGCTCTCCCACGACCACAGCAGGGCGCTGCGGATGGCGTCGGGAAGAATCTGGCGGACACAAAAAAAAACAAATTTGGCATTCATGTCGTCCTAGTGATCCTAGCGTTGCGTCGTCGGGAATGACCGCTTTCTGCGTAACCAAAGCTTAAAACACCTGAATGTGAACAACGGTGCGTATTTTGATTTACCGAACTGAACCCGGCCTGAGGGTCGTTGCTGTCCACGCCCGTGGTCTTGACGGTGATGAAGGGGAGGTTGTCCAGGATGCTGCCCATGGCCATGCTCGCATTCCCGGTAGGGGTGTTGGGGTCCTTGTAGGAGGCCGTCAGCCCGAAGTACACGTTGAAGCCCACGAAGTCAGTCGAGTCTGGGTACACAGAAATAGCCTTAGTGTGTCTTAGATCCGTTCGGTGCAAACGAGTGCAAACACCATATCGCCGCCACGCAGTGGACCAGAGGGCCGGTGGAGGCGGGTCAAAATCAAACGTGTGACCCCACCAATGGATTGCTCTTCGAACGAGGAATTCATTGGTGGGGTCACAAGCTCAGTTCAAGTCCTGTTCAGCGACTCTGGAGCTCAAAACGCGTCTAGAGTTTTGGCCGCCGGCGCCGGTCTTCTGGCAGCTTCTGGCCTACTGTACGCCACCGCCACCCACTTGTTGCTCACCTCGCAGGCTCGCCCTTTGCGCGTCGGTGAACTCGGTGACCTTGTCCTTGGCCACGTCCTTGACGAGCTGGGGGTAGTCGCCGAAGACGACGGGGTGCAGCACCAGCCCGTGGTACATCTGGTTCCAGGCGTCGGCGGCGTACGCGTCCTCGGGGCGGGTGGTGGCTGGCCGGGCGTGTGTCATGAGCACGTTGATGCCGACCTGGCCCGTGTGGCCGTCCTGGTGGAAGGCCCTGTAGGCTGCGGCGTGGGCCAGCACCACGTGGTGCACGCACTGGAAGTGGTTCGCCTCCTCCTGCTTGTAGAGCCCGGCCCTGACGAAGGCGGCCGGGAAGTACGTGCAGTACATGTTGGGCTCGTTGATGGTGTTCCAGAGCTTCACCTTGCCGGAGTACTCGTTGAACAGGAAGCGGGCGTACTCCACGAACTTGTCCACCATCTGCTCGCTCTGCCAGCCGTGGAACTGGTCCTCGAGAATCTGGGGGTGGTCGAAGTGGAACATGGTGGCCTGCAATGCAGCAAGCGACTTAGCGAGTCTATCCCTCCTTTCAGGCCCTTCCAGACCCGTGCGAACGTTTGGCCGGGGAAGACACTTACGAAGGGCACCATGCCCTTGGCCAGGATGGCGTCGATCAGGTCGTGGTAGTACTTGACGCCCGCGGCGTTCGGCTTGGTGGCGTCGGCCGTGGGCAGCACGCGCGTCCACGCGATGGAGAAGCGGTACAGCTTGAGCTGCACAGACAAACACTTCAACGCCTCGCCCTCGCCGCCTCGCTCCCCCACTGGGAAACCCACCGCACCGCCCCCACCTTGAGCTCGGCGGCCTTGTCGATGTCCTCCTGGTAGCGGCGGTACGAGTCCGCGGCGACGTCGTGCAGGTGCGGGTCCCCGTAGCCCATCGCCGACAGCTTGCCGGTGTGCACGACGTGGTCCGCCGCGCTCTCGGACTTCCCTGCTCGCACCGAGTCGATCAGGCTAAGCCGCGGCCCGCGCTTCGGAACAGGAGGCGCAGCTATTCGGTGCTCCAAGACTCACCATCTGCGTCCCAGGCGCCCTCGGTCTGGATGGCCGCCACCCCAGCGCCGATGAGCAGCCCCTCGGGCAGGGCGAACTGGTCGTCGTCCGCCGAGTTGTCCGCAGCGCGGGGCAGCGCGGACGCGGCCGCCACCAGGGCGCTCGCCAGCGCGCACCACGCCACCGCCATCTGGAAGACGGCCCAGATGAAAGCAATCCAAGTCCAACAACTAGTCTACCATCCACGAGGGGGAAGCAACTTCCCACTTTCTTTGTACAAAGTTTGAACACATTCCACATTCAGGTGGCGAAAACGCCTCTACGTAGGCAACATGCGGTGCAAAGACGCTAGAAATCTTGCGAAATAACGTGAAATAGCGTTAAAATGCCCTAAAATAACGTAATTTCTTTTGAAGTTGTTTGCCCCATGCACTAAACCCTTTGCCGCGGACTCACCTTGCGTCGAGCCTTGCGTGCCATCTTCGGAAGGGAGTCCTCGTGGTCCTGTGGGAAGTCCTGCCCCGCCGCACCCCGGCGTCCTTTTTATGCACCGCCCAGGTCTCAGGTGTGTCCATCTAATCTGATTAGATCCCCTTCCGCGGTCTGCCCGTGCAACCGGCGCCCAATCACAGGTCGCGACGGCGCGTGGGGCGTTCCTTCGGAGGCTCCCTCGCCTCACGATGACTCACCGGACCGATTCCCGGAAGCAGCGACTTCGTAACGTGAAGAACGTGCGCACTTCAGAGAGGGAGACTCAAAAGAAACTGCCTATTCACCGTCGATTGCGTGCCTTAAGTGCTCTCTACGGTGCGTCTGCTTTCTCTGGGGCCCTCAGCCTCGTCCGTCCAGGGAGGTAGAGTGCGACCCGGTGCGACCCGGTGCGACCACGTGGTGCCCGGTGGTGGCTCGCTGGGGAAGGGGCCCGGCAGAGGGCTGGGGCTCTCGAATGAGGCAAGCTAGACCGACGATCTGGAAGGATACACCGTGACAGCCACCCCCACACGTTTATAAAAATTACATTCTTTACTTCTTGATGGGTTGGTCGGTATAATCAGCTGACCTAACCTGATAGAGGTAAGGAAACTCCTCAAAACTCCTCAAAATGTCAACGCATTTTCACGTTTACAATGCAGATGGGTATTTTCATGGTGAATCGCCGTAGAAACGCATGCAAGTCTTTTCGGATTTCTGGGTGTTTCCAGGGAGGCCGCGGTGGCGGCGAGCGCCGTGCGAGTGGGCAGCCCGGCCGACGGGTGTGTCCAGCACCGCAGCGTGTTGCCTACCCGGCAGGCGCTCGCCTGGGCTTGCCGGTCTGTCCACGCTGCGCCACGCCGTCCACGCCGCGCCACGCCCTGGCTGGCAATGCCGCTTGCAGGGTGGTGCTGGCGACCCGGCGGCCTGGCGACATGACTGCCTGGCCCGCCGAGATGCCGCGTGTGATTTGGGGGCGCATTATTTCGGGGCTCTCTGGCGCGACGCCCTCTTCGAGCCGCGCTGTGCATCAGAGCCGCCGACCCTTGCAGGAAAGTGTACTCCAAAAGTTAAGGACCACGCGCCAGCTGAAGCAGGGGCGGTGGCAGGGGTCGGGTGTCTTCGGTCCGCACAGCTCAGCAGCAGACTGATTCCGAGAGTCGTTCTCGTCGCGCTGTCTCTCTCGCACTCATGGAGCGTCCCGTACAGGTGCAAGGACAGACCGACGAGAACGACTCGCGGAATCAGTCTGCTGATGGCGCCTGACAAAGAGGCAGTGAGTGCGGCGCGTCTGCCTAGTGACTCATTGCAGTTTCGCCAGCCGCTTTGACGTCAGACCAGACTGGGACTCCTCCGATAGCGGCGTGCACCGGTGGCACCGGCCCTTGGCTTGGGCAAGGCTTGGCGCGCTTGGCTCGCTTGGCGCTGCGTGCACAGTGCGGCAGGGCCAGGCAGGGCCAGGCAGGGCGGACTGGTCTGGTCTGGCCACTTTCACTGCCGCCCTGCCCTGCGCCCTGTGCGGAACCCAGGTGGACAGACGGACGGACGAAAAGGCAGACAGACACAGACTGACTGACTCGGCCAACCATCACTCGCTCATCACCAGGGCGATCCAAACCGAACCTAACCGGTCGTCCTGCGGGGAAGGGTGGGAAGGGGGGCGGCAGGGACCGGGAAAGCTTGGGGCCTTGCGTAGCTGTACGAGGACGGGTACTTGGACGGGTGGCTCAGGTCCGCTGAAGGACGAGCAGCAATGCGCATGGGCAAGACCGATCATATTTCCCTTTGGTTCAAATGCTGTTCGGCAGCAGTGATGAAACATGCACCACGAGTAGGTCACACCTAGGTTGCGCACCGGACGAAACAACGTGACTTGAAATAGCTTCGGCCACCAATGGTCCTCTGCTTTTCGGGTCTGTACTAGTGGTCTGCAACGCGTACTCCGAAAACTTTCCGTCGAGTTTCCGGCAAAGTGCCGTCAGTGTTTCCAACGCGCGAGCAGCCGCAGTGGTTGAACCGCGCTTCGTCAGTGTGCTTGGGCAATGGAGGCGACTGCGTGCCTCGCTTTGCGGCCTGTCCGTCCACTAGTGCACGTGCACTGCACGTGCGCGTACTTTCTTCGTCGCCAAGACTCTGCCGCCGGTGCGCGCGTTGGGTTGCCTGCCCGCGCGGCGCGCTGCGCGTCTGCGTGAACCACTGCCGGGCAATCGCCGCGTCGCTCTGCAGGTAGGCAGCCCATCGTACGCGCGGGGAAGTACCTACAGAGTACAATGCAGCAACAGGTGGAGCGCCGGAAAGGAACCCAATTTCAAACGCCGACGCCTTTGCAGTGGCGATACACGCTACCAGCCAGCAGGCTGATTCCGCGCACTGCCTGCGTCGCTCTGTCTCTCTCGCACCTATACGGGGAGACCAATAAGTGCGAGAGAGACAGCGATCACAGTAGTGCTCGGATAGCCTGCAGGGAACTGGGCGCGGGGACACGAGTAGCCCGAACGGAGAACGTGTGGTAACACGGGTGGTAACGATTAACAGCCACAGTGAGGCGCACAGTCGTCGAGTGGAGCGGGCTGCATTAATTTGATGCCAGGACTTTCGACTTTCGGGACGCTCCGCTCCGCAGTCGTCCTCACCGGTGTGGTTGCGAGGCACGCGTCTCGGGCCGCGCCGCCGGGGAGCCGAGGAGCCGAGGGGTTGGCGCGGCCCGCTCGGATTCCTGCCAAGATGACGGCCAGCCGGGCCAGCCGGGCGAGGGGGCCGGGGCCGGGCCAGCCACCACCTCTCGGGCCGCCCGGCACGGGGCGCGGCACGCCCTGCCCTACGCTACGCCCGGCTGGCCCGGCGCACAGTGGCACAGTGCACAATGACCGGTCAGTCGTCCGCGGTGATAGTTATTTCAAAGTTGGCAACCGAGCCCTGCCCGCCGCCCTGCCGGCCAGGTGCGTGGTGGTGGGGGCAGCCAGGGTGCCCAGGGCGGCGGCGGTAGCTGGCGGGGAGCCGAAGCCGGGAAGCCGCGAAGCCGACTGAATGGCAGACGGCGGGGCGCGGGGCGGCGCGGGGCGGCGCGGTACGCCGGCAAGACGGCGCGGGGACAGGCGCGGCGCCACGGGCACATCGCTACGGGCACCCGGAGCTGGCAGACCACCACAGTCCCGTCGTCGTCGCCGCCGCCATCATCGTCGTGCCGGTGGCCGTCCATGGTCGCCAAGGACCACCAAGGACCCGGGACGAGCGCGCCGCGCGCTGAGCCAGCCAGCCAGCCAGCCAGCCAGCCTGCCGACTTCCCCGTCGTCGTGCGTGAGGTCAGTGCCGCTGCGCCGAAGCAGGCCGAAGGCTTGGCCGAAGGCGCGGCCCTTCCGACGCGACGCACCACCGCTCGACTCGCCCCGCTCTAGAGAGGCGCCGGTGCCCGCCGGTGGCGTTCAGCCCCGCTGCACCTGGGGCCCTCAGTGTCAGTCGGCGTCTGCCTGCCCTGGCGATAACGCGAAGGGCTACGTGCCGAAAGGATGAGGTCCTGGCCGGAAATAATCAATAGTGACGCGGAATGTTATGGTCGGTCGGGCCCTGGCGCCCGATGATTGATTGACGACCAGCTTCGCGTGCTTCGCGAGCTTCGCAGCAGTCGGCTTATTTTTTCTGCGGCCACGCCGCGCCTCTCTTTTCTTGTGTCGCGCTTATCGCGGACTAACTCCCGACAGTGTAGTCTGAGAGGGGCAGTGTATTCCGGCTGCATAGTAAGTTGAATCAATTTAACCAATCCCAATACGTCGGGTTGGCCTGGGCATTGATTGTTTCGCCTGGCAATCCTGGCAATGGGCTCAAATGGCTCTCCGGTTGCCACTCGCTGCACTCCCGGCTTGATTGTGACTGTGCCGTCGTGGCCGCTGTGTGACTGCTGCGTGGCCTCTGCGTGCCCGGCGGCCCGCGGCCCGGCCATGGGGCTGGGCCTTTTGGACACCGCCATAGGGGGCAACACCTGCCAAGCGGCGCCGGAGAGTCAGTGCGTCGCACTGTCTCTCACTGCAAACTGAATGGAAAGACATTACGCCAAAATGTGGCGAGACAAAAAGTCTCGCCACATTTTGGCGATACTTTCATGTCTCGCCACAATATGGTCAGATTCAAATGTCTCGCCAATTTATGGCGAGACTTTTTTGTCTCGCCAAAATATGGCCCAAAATTATTTAAATAGGGTAGGCAATGCATGGATTCATAGCAAAAAACATAAACTACTGCTTATTCACAAAATTCACGAGAAATCATTTCTGATCACCACTGATAGTTGTTTGACCCACTGGGGACTCTCAAGAGTAACGCTGTTTGTTTCGCTCATAAACCAAGAGGTGCGTCTTCACATAACAGGGCCGCTCACATTCAGTTTCATTGAAATCGATTGTACTCACAATAATCACAGTAGCACTGTGGCTATGAAGAAATTTGCAGGCAGGTTGAGAGTTGATTCATCCAATAAAGATTGTCTACAAACATGTAGCTTTGAGTACTGTACAACTTAGCCCAGAGAACAGATGGTGCAGACTGTTGATGAACTTAACATTTTGACAGTTCTCCTTTTTCACACGCAGTTTGACAATAGCTCGAACGATTAAAAGACATCTTCGCAAACAGATAACCCAGTTGGCAACAGTCGTCATTGCTCGAAACTAGGAAAAACTAAATTATATCGTTGCAAGTCAAACAATCGCTCAGAGGCTGGCAGCCATTTTAGAGGCTATGTTTTTTTTTTTTGGACAGAAGAGGTTATGGGCAGTTATGGGCGTGACGATTTAGATTCAGATTCGGGTTGGGAAATTATACGCATGACCAAACCAGTATTCGCAGTCACATCCTCACATCTCGTAAACAAAAGTAACCTGAGGAAATGGCCGCTGGTTATCATGTTTTCCTCCCGACTTTGCATCAATAAAATTAAGTTTTTTCTAGTTTGGAGCGATGACGACTGTTGCCAACTGGGTTATCTGTTCGCGAAGATGTCTTTTTATCGTTCGAGCTATTGTCAAACTGCGTGTGGAAAAGGATAATTGTCAAAATGTTTAGTTCATCAACAGTCTACACCATCTGTGCTCTGGACCAAGTTGTACAGTACTCACAGCTACATGTTTGTACACAATCTTTATTGGATGAATCAACTCTCAACCTGCCTGCAAATTTCTTCATAGCCACAGTGCTACTGTGATTATTGTGAGTACAATCTGATTTCAATGAAACTGAATGTGAGCGGCCCTGTTATGTGAAGACGCACCTCTTGGTTTATGAGCGAAACAAACAGCGTTACTCTTGAGAGTCCCCAGTGGGTCAAACAACTATGAGTGGTGATCAGAAATGTTTTCTTATGAATTTTGTGAATAATGCAGTAGTTTATCTATTTTGCCATGAATCCATGCATTGCCTACCCTATTCAATAATTTTGGGTCATATTTTGGCGAGACAAAAAAGTCTCGCCATAAATTGGCGAGACATTTGAATCTGACCATATTGTGGCGAGACATGAAAGTATCGCCAAAATGTGGCGAGACATGAAAGTATCGCCAAAATGTGGCGAGACTTTTTGTCTCGCCTCTCCAGAGGCGTAAAGTCTGACCTTTGGATTTGTAGTGCTCTCGCACCTCGACGGAGCGCCTTATCAGTGCGAGAGAGACAGTGCCTGCAGGGGTTGACACAACACGGCGCTCGCTGCAAAAGGCAATTGCTGCGACGCCGAGGTGGACTACGCGTCACCCAGACATGTAATTGCGCGCCAGGCGGGGGTTCGACTCCCGGCGACGGCCCATTTTCGCCGGCAGAGACGCGACTCCATCCGCGGGTAGGGTTCATGGAAGCCATGACTTGCGAGTTGCGTCAGCCCGAGAGCGCGGCGACGGCGTGGCCTGGCAACCACCCCGCCTTTGTGTTATTGACGCAGACGACGCCTCTGTCCTTTGCAGTGCACTACTGGGAGTACTGGGCCAAGTTAAGCCTGACGCTCGCCTTGCTTCACACGAGGAACTTGGAGCCGGGCACGTGTTGGCTGCAGGGCCTCCACCGTGGCTGGGGCTTAGCGGGCTTCTGATCACGCCGCCCGTCCGGCCCGCCCCACCACGCCCCGCGACGACGCGGTGAGCGACAGACCTGCGAAATTCGCGCCTTACTCGGCGGCGCCCCGCCCCGCCCCGCCCCGCCCCGCCGCGCCCGGCGGCCCCAGCCAGTGCCTGCCTTCGGCGTCTTTCTGTCAGCGGCCACCGCGCGGGAAGGACGTCCCGGCCCGCCACCCCGGCCTCGCCGTCTCACCGCCTCGCAGACGCCACTCGACATGCTGACCGCCGTGCAGGTGAGTCGCAGTGCAGCAGTCGCAGACCCAACCAGTGACCTTTTCCTCTGCATCTTCTTCGTATTCTGTAGAAATGCGCCGAACTGCCACGAAGCGAGGCGAAGAGAGGTTGACGCAGGGCGGCTCCAGAGCCAGAAGCAGGGTGCGGACCGTTCCGCGCCCTTGCAGTCGGGTGGCACGCCACTGCAGGAGGAAACGCCAAGGACCCACCCACCCACTAGGTCCGCCCCTAGGTTGATGTCCCTCGCTTATCTGCAAGCAGCCAGACTGATAGATAGCGAATGTCTGCGGCTTGTCTCATCAAAAAGTGGCACATTTTTCTCAAGTGCTCCAGACCATAGTTGCAACTTTTAGCTCAAAAGTGATGGACCAAAACAGTGCAACACACGCTGAGCGTGCGGCGGGGCCACACACACGTGCGTAGTGTTGTCACTGTCACAGGCCCGTGTTAAACGATAGGGATTGGAAGTCAAGCGTGTTGTTGGGTGCCATCATCTGCTCGACGAGTGCCGGGGGCTGTCGTTAAAAGTGACGTCGTCATCGTCGTGGCCGTCGCACTGCAGTGTGCTGGCAGCGTGCTGGAGTGGTGACTGATTGTGAAGCGGCTTCTCACCGGGCCCCTCGTGTGTGGGTCCAGTCCGAGCCAGGCCTGGCGAAGCCGCGAAGCCCAGTGGCTGCCCTTTCACTCCGGGAGAAACGCCACAGGGAGCAGCAACTAACGACTCTTGTCCAGATTACCCCGCCGCGCCCCGCCGCGCCGCGCCCCACCCCGCCCCACCGCGCGCAAACTATAGTGGCGACGTTCAAAGTAGAGCATCTCCCCCCTCCTCCTTTCCCCGCGGGGCAGGTCCGCCTGGTGGCAGTGACCCTAGGGCAGCCTCGGCCGGGCCTGCCGGGCGGCTGTCGAGTTAGAAAGGTGCTAAAAGAGCTGTCATTTGACCAGTCTCTGGTCTAGAATCTAGAAACGCTCTCGTCGGCCGACTGTTGCCCTCTCCAGTCTCCTAATCGGACGAACCCCGTTTAGGCGCACCGACCTAAGTTAAGCGCGCCGAGATGTTTGCCCAGCTGTGCCCAATTCGTTGCCGCCTTGCACTGAGACTGCTGAGACTCAGACACGGGATTAATTCCGACTGCTCGTCTGCGCCTTATCTGCGGATTACAGGATAAGTGAGAGTACGACGCAGATTACTTCCAAGTCGCGGTATTCCATTGATGTATTCGCTAATTGAGTCGAGAAAAATCGACATCACCGTCGGGGATCGAACCACCGAACTCCAAGATGGGACCCAAACGCCCCTAACAGCGCGGCCACGACGCCGAACGAAATGAGTCGCATGTGAAACTATTGTGTTCTCCCTCCCCTCCAGAGAGCCGCGGCGTCGCTGTGGAAGGCGACATGGCGCAAGAAGCACCTGGACGACGGGCCCTCCGAGCTGGCCCGCGTGCTGGGCCTGCTGGACCTGACGGCGCTGGGCGTGGGCTCCACCATGGGGCTCGGCGTGTACGTGCTGGCCGGGTCCGTGTCGCGGCTGCAGGCCGGCCCCGCCGTCGTCGTCTCGTTCCTCATCGCCGCCGTGGCCAGCGTCTTCGCGGGTAAGTAAGTACGCCCTGCTACGCCCTGCTACGCTCGCCTCGCTCATCGCCCGCCCTCACTCGTCCTCACTCGTCCTCACCCGTCCTCACCCCTCGGCCCTCGCCAATGCCGGCCGCGATATTTATAGGCATCGTACCCTTGCCCTTGTCTTGGGCCGCACCGCTGTCTCTTCCCAGCCGTGCTGGCCGTGCTGGCCGTGCTGGCCGTGCTGGTCGCGCTGGCCCTCGCGTCGGCAACACACCATGCGGCGCCGGGCAGCACGCCCGTTATGACGTCAACCCCGCCAGCAGCGCTGCGACAGTGCCGCGACGCCGCGACGCCGCGGCAGGGAAAGCCCAGAGGGTCCGCGGTCCCATGTTACTTGGTACAGTGTACACACTGACTTGAGGTTGGCGGCGCTGGCGGCACTGGCGGCCAGCCCTTCCTGGCCCGTGCCGGCCGGCCGGCCGGTCCGCGGGCCAGCCCAGCCAGACGGCTCGTGATCATGTTAACATGACAGTTAGCACTCGATGGACACTCGACTCCAAGGGCGCATCGCGCCGCATCGCGCCGCATCGGTGACATCGGCCACGTGCATCACCGATTTCGCCTCCCTAAAGGCGAAACCGCGTCGTCGGGTAGGCCAGGCGTGACGGTGTACCCTACACTGTGTACGAGGAAGTGACGCTCTTCGCCGGCAACCAGCACCGCCTTCCAGGCGAGACAAACTCGTCGTCCTTGTGCCTGTTCGGCGCCGCCGGCCTACCGCCATCGCGTCAGAGGCTGCAAGCCTGGCAAGCTGGCGACCTGGGCTCCCTGCCTGGGATGCCTGCCTGCCTGCCCGCCTGCGTGCTATGACAGAATATAATTACCATTGCACTGCTCCCCGGCTCCTTTGGCGCTCCTGACTCCAGCGTCCTGGCCCCCTCCGGGCGGCCACGGCCCCTCGGGCCTCGCTCGCCGCGGAAGCGTCGGTCCCCTCGTTTCCTCGCCCGCAAAACAAAGTATAAGCCCGACCGGTTGTGTTGTGGGTCAGTGCGGACGAGGACGAGGACCGGTGGGGGCTGCGGGTGTTGACCTCGGCCACGGCGGCCACGGCGGCCACCTCGGCCACGCACGCACTCGGCCTGCCCCAACCCCGACGCCCCAACGCCCCGACGCCCCCACCCGGCGCCTGCCCAAAGCGTCACGACCTCGGACACGTGCCGGCGCACTTGCCGGCGCAATCAGCGCTGGAGTATTGAAAAAAAAAAGCGAAAACCAAACAAACGAGGCGCTAAAGGATGTTTTTGTGGCTTGTGTTGCAGGTCGTGGGGCCGAGGAAGGCTGGGAGGACACGTAGCCTGACAAGTGCAAGCTTTTTTGAGCGCACCGACGCACCGACGTGAGTGCCCAGCCCAATCCGAGTGATTGGTCAGGGTCCAAATAGGTGAGCGGGGCCATAGGGGCCAGGCGCCCGGCCGATGCCAAGGCCGGAGCGGTGCGGTACAGAGCCTTGTTATCCACTTGTTGTTATCCTCTTGTGATTTTCCGTCGCCAGTAGACCAACGCATTTATGGATCTATTTTGTTGCCTCCGCACGCCGCGCCGCGCGGTGCCGGGGAAACGAGTTGTTACAGTCGCCGCCTGGAATGTGGCACTCCGGCACCACGCCTGCAATGAATGCCATTCAAAAGCCGCCTGTTTCGTTGGGCTTTGAGCGTAGAATCTCGTCATGCTCGAGGATAGTCAGAAAACAAAAAAGAAGGCGTTGCGATGTCCAGACTTCACTGCACTGCAGTGGAGGCCCTGAACGAAGGCGACTCGGCGTTGCGTCTCCCGAGTGCCGTGACCTCAACGTTCGGTGCCCTGCGCGGCCTGCGCCATGGCCTGCGCCTACAGGTGTCCTGGTTTCTTGTGTTGTCGGCAGGCCTCTGCTACGCTGAGTTCGCGGCGCGCGTCCCCAAGGCGGGCTCCGCGTACGTCTACGCGTACGTGGCGGTGGGCGAGGCCATCGCCTTCATCATCGGCTGGACGCTCATCCTCGAGTACGCCATCGGTAAGAACCTGTTTTGCTTTGTCTCGTTTTACTTTTCCGTCGCCTGATCGCGTGACTCCGGTGGAAGAAGTAAACACCCGCACGCCAGCGAACGGTTGCCAGTTTTGTTTTTGAGCGCGCTTTTTGCGGTGGCTGCGCGCGCTGCGCGGCAGTGCGCAGAGGCCTCGGGCCTCGCAGCCAATCGGTATTCCTATTACGCGCTATCTCTCGGCCAGCCAGCGGGCCGATTCTGAACGGTGCTTTCGTCGCTCTGTCTCTCTCGCACTCATGCGGCGTCCCGTCTAGGTGCGAGAGAGACAGAGCGACGAAGCGCCGTGCGCAATCAGCGGCCCGCCCGCAGCGCTCGGCTGTGTCGCGTGGCGGCCTACCCTGGACCCCGCAGGCGGAGAGCCCTGCACTATCCCCCCGGGGACGTCGGCCTCCACGGAGACGCTCCACTCCGGATTCCTCGAAATGGGCCTCTAAACCGAGATCGGCGCCCATGTCCGTGCACAGGAACGGCGAGCATGTCGCGGGCGGTGTCGAGCTACGTGGACAACCTGGTGGGCCAGCGCATGAGTACCTTCTTGAACGGGACGGTGCACATGGACATGCCCTTCATGGCGGAGTACGCCGACTTCTTCTCCCTGTTCATCGTGGTCATCATCACCCTGCTGCTGGCCTTCGGCGTCAAGGAGTCCTCCTACGTCAACATGCTCTTCACGTTCGTCAACCTGGTCACGGTGGCCACCGCCTTCGTCACCAGTTCGATTTATGGTGAGTGGAGCGGGTTCAAACGCCGTCCTTGTTTTATTTTGGCCGGGCGTTTGGCCGGGCGTTTGACCGGACCTGGTATCGTGTTTGCAGCCAAGCCCGAGAACTGGTCGCTGTCGCCGGAGCAGATCCCGGCGGACCTCCGAGACAAGGCGGGAACGGGCGGCTTCATGCCCTTCGGCTTCAAGGGGGTCATCCAGGGCGCCGCCACCTGCTTCTTCGGCTTCGTCGGCTTCGACTGCATCGCCACCACGAGTAAGGCCAATTTAAGTTACTCGCTTTGGAGTGCCCTGAGTCTGAGTTTCGGCCCCACCGTTTCCAAAGTTGCAGTGAACATCCTTGGTTCAATGTGTAATAACGCACGGTAGGCAACCCACGCGGCAGCGCCGCACCCGGCCGTGTGGCCAGAGCCACGGCCAGGGCGCCCGCCCTCAGATTGGCACTGAGACTCGTTGTTCGCGCTTGCAGGCGAGGAGACCAAGAACCCCCGGCGCAACATCCCGCTGGCCATCGTGCTGTCCCTCATCATCATCTGCACGGCGTACTGCGGCGTGGCCACGTCGCTCACCCTCATGTGGCCGTACTACGACCAGGACGTGGACGCCCCCTTCACCTACGCCTTCGACCAGCTGGGCCTCACCGCCGTCAGATGGGTCGTCACCGTGGGCGCCGTCTTCGCCCTGGCCACCAAGTACGTATGGGCGAAACAAGAAGCGTGCGGGCCGGGGGTGGCGTCCAGGACCTTGTCCAGGGCGTGACGAGACGACCGCCTTGTTGCAGCCTGCTGGGGTGCATGTTCCCGCTGCCGCGCATCCTGTACTCCATGTCCACGGACGGCATCCTGTTCCGCTTCCTGGGCAACGTCAACTCGCGCACGCACACGCCCGTGATCAGCACGCTGCTGTCGGGCGCGCTGGCCGGCATCATGGCCCTGCTGTTCGACCTGACGCAGCTCATCGAGATGCTGTCCATCGGCACGCTCCTGGCCTACTCCATCGTGGCCCTGTGCGTGCTCGTGCTCAGGTACACCGCCCACGTGGAGCCCGCCAAGCCGGACAAGACCACGGACCTGGACAGCGAGCCGGGCTTCAGCGTCAAGTCAATCTGCGCCGGTGAGTCACTCGGATAGTCATCAGTGCAAAGTGATTTCGTTCCGCGCGCTGGTGCTAAACAAGCTCCCACCCCCGCAGGCATCTCGCGGGCGCCGCGGGCGCTGGTCAACTGGGAGAGGTCGTCCGTGCCCACGGCCACGTCGACGGGGGCGGCGGGCATCCTGGTGGCGGCGTTCGGCGCGCTGTCGCTGGCGCTGTGCGTGCTGCTGTCACGCGCCGGCTCCACGCTGTACTCCGACCCCGCGCCCTGGACCGCGCCCCTGCTGTCGCTGGGCGTGCCGCTGGTCGTGGTGCTGCTGCTGCTGTGCCTGCAGCCCCAGGCCAGCGTCTCGCACCTATCCTTCGCGGTGCCCTGCCTGCCGGTCATCCCGGCCCTCAGCGTCTTCCTCAACACGTACCTCATGATGGAGCTCAGGGGGGAGACGTGGGTGCGCTTCGCTGTCTGGATGATCATCGGTAAGTAGGACTCATCACGTGTCACCAAAACTCTGGGAAAATTTTATCGGAGTAAATCGGCAAATGTTGTGACGCTGCTGCCGCTGTTCCAGGGCTGGTCGTCTACTTCTCGTACAGCGTGCGGCACAGTGGCGAGCGCACGTGCAACCGGCCGACGAGCAACGGCGTCAACGGCGTCAACGGCCACGCCCCCGCCGTGGGCGACTCCAACACCACCTACAAGCACGCCGAGGGGCTGACACACCTGTGATATATACCTATTTATGTTAAGGATAGATTTCCAAGTTATTGATTAAGGAGAGAGAATAGATTCGAGTGCAGTGAAGCGCAGCCTGAGGGAAGTCCCACGTCAGTGGCCGAGCAGAGCAGCCGAGATTCCAGTGGACTGGATTCGAGAATGCCGTTGCGTTTCCTGCTGCTTTTGTACATACATGACAGTCGGTCCAAGACTGTGCGAAGAGAAGAGGCGATAAATGGACGATCCCAAATGTTGAGATGCTCAGATTCTGTGCCAAACTCATTTGCCATTTTACTAAGTGTGACACGCAGCCTACCGTCGTATCAAAGAGGACCATATCGGTACAAATATTGTATCGCAGATGCAGAAAAGTTGGAAGTATTTTGAGTCGCCGTGACGCGGCTGCCTTGTCGGTAAGCCATTTGCCCGTCAGTTCTATGGGCAAAAACTAAAATTCATGTCAGTCTTTGAATTCACCATAAGTAATATCTTTTTACATGTCTCATGTTGATTTTATTTTTCAAAAGAAAACAAAGTGATTATTATAAAATAATTTGATGTGTACCACTTATTTTTGTCACTTTCCACAGCCTTCCTTTCTTCTTCCCTTAAGAGGTGGAAAAAAATTATTGGACAAGTTGTACCCTTCAGGATAAAAATGAAATAAAATCTACTGTGCAATGTTACTACAGAAATGATTTTATTTCAACAATAAGAAGATTAAGTGAATGGAAGGGTAAATTATCAGGGAACAAGGTCACCTAAACTTAACATGACTTAAAGCAACTGACAGGAATAAAAGAAAATAAATCATCACAGCCCAAAATACATAACAATGTTAGAGAAACAGGCAGAAAAATTCCAAAGAAGACTTAGCAAAATCACAATTACAATGACAAGTGAAGATAAGAACCAAACACCCAATAAATAATGGGTGTGCAAATAAGAGTCCAGTGACTGAATTCCAAGAAAAGACACTTACATTTGTTCAAGTAGATGATATTTGCGACTATAATCACATTAAATACCAGTCAACAACAACATTGGTCAACATGCAATAACTGCATTATCACATGAATAATTTTTGGTAGTTATCAAAGCTTTCTTTGAAGGTACAAAGAAAATATAGATCAATATAGAAAAAAAAGAAACATATGGCACACAATCATAAACTAGATACTGTTCCCCATTAAGTAGGTGTAACCTTTAGTCAGAAGGCACTTTGTACAAGCATTTTCTTAAATCACCTCTCATTCACTCTCTGCACCTCAAAGGATGCGTGGAGATATCTTTCAGTGTAAAGCTGTTTTGCCAAAGTTTGCAAAATTTCTGATGCATTATGAAGTGAATTTTCAGGGTTGCGTACATATATAACCGATGATTCAATACACGATCTGACACCAGCATACAATTTGTTACTCAACAAACCCTCCAAGGATGCAAGGTTCTTCAGAGCATCAGCAGTAGGGTGAATATCCAAAGATGGATCGGATCTGGAAGGAGTTTTGCCAGTGTTAGGAAGGATGTGTTGGAACTTCCCTTCAATCAGTACTCCCTGAGAGTAAAACGTTTTTTTACTTACTTGGTGGAGGGACCATTGGTGATAGAACCAGCACAGTTGGGTGTACTTCTTACGAGATTCGATTCAACCTTGCTCTCAGGCAACTGAGCTGATACAAATGCGCATAGAAAACGGCACAAAAGGCGGCACCTAAAATTAAAGAAAAATTTGAAACTGACTCAAACCACTAGCCAACAAAGAATTCTTGTCAATTGCAAACTCTTTCACCTTGGGGTGACCGATAGCTGCTTGCCAATGCCAATGGCACTAAGGAGGCCCCAGCCGCCAGCCTTATGTTCTGCCACAGCTGAAGCATGCTGCACTAGCTGATGCAGACATGAGGCTGCTGTGGCTCGATCCCCGGATTGAGAAACTTGACGTTGTGCAAGATACAAAACTTGGCACCATAAAAGAGTAAGTTTTGCTTCCACTTGCTCTCTGCAATAAAAAATCAAACAATTTAAATTAATAAAAGGGTGAAAAGCTAAACTTAAAGATGGCATTGCAACAAGACTTACGTAGGCCGCACAGAGTTCAGCCAAGTCATGAGGCTGGACAACAAAATGGCTTCCTCCCTGATGTCACGACACAACCGAAGTTGAAGAAGGAGAAGTCCATGCAGACTCAATAAATTACCGTCAGTAATTAAAACTTCTTCTGTGGGAGGTTGACGTGGAACAGTGGGCTGAAGTATAGAAACAGCGCTCGACCACTGGTTTTTAGTTTCATCCCCTGAATCAAAAGGACCCATATTCAAGAGCTAATAAATAAAGATAATTAGTACAAAAAAATAGAAAATACAAAGCAATTAAACAAACCTGCAGCATTGTAGAAATACGATTCAAGTGTAGCTTCCAGAATACCACCAAGGGCAGAAGAATCATTCACTGTACTGCCTACAACTTTAAGCAGAGCAGGAACAACAACAGTGCTTTGGCGTTGAGACCCAGGGACAGATCCTAGGGACGAAAGCCACGAAACACAGCTTTCTAGAGCCAGTGCACCCAAGGCACTGCCAGGAGGCTGGTTAACAACACCAAGTAATTCAGTCAAAAGTAAACCAGCCTCTGGTACCTGCTGCTGTTGTGGAACCGCTACAAAACAAACAAACAATACACTGATATCAGACTGCCTCATCACTTGTTTATTGATTCCTCCAACACATCTTAATTTTCCCACTCACTTGCAGCAACAACAATTTCAATGTCGTCCAACATGCGCTGAATCACTTCAAAAAAGTCAACTCTATTAGAGCTTAGCATTGACTTGTATCTACTTGCACAAGTCACAAGCACTTTTACACCAGAACGAACAAACATTTGCCTTTTGCGCAATGTAGAAGAGTGGAACTGGGTAGTATTAGCAGTATAACCAGCAGCTACTTGTAGAAGACTATAACAGAAACAAAATAAATAAATTAGAACCATATTGCACAGATAGGGTACGGTATAGGACATCAAATATAATACAAAAACTTACTATATCACAGCACTGTCAATTGCACTACCGTCTTGGTCTTCCACACGAAGAATTGATCTAGGATCCACACTCATAACATACCAATTGACAACTGGTTCATACGCGTGCGCGTCTAAGAGATGCCAAGCAAGTTTGCGAGATTCGACCAAAAGTGAAAGTATTTTTCCCGACTGAAAATGACCAACAAATATTCAGATTCAGACAAGACAATAAATATATTCGATCATTATCATAACTAAAAGTCACAGCATTTATTAAAAATTATAGGAAGCATAATTACCTGTCGCACACTTGGCTCATTAGCTAGCTTGACAAAAAGATGTAGAAGACAGGTGTGGAGACGAACAACTGCCATTGGGGACTCAGAACTACTTGCATGTGCTAACCACTTAGTCCATGCAATTTCAATAAAAACAGCCCCAAGAAAGGCATGACAGTCAGGCAAATACTGATCCACAACCTAGACAAATAAGAATTAAGTAAATTATGCTGATGCTTTTTCACAAATTACTCAGGTGTTCAATGTCAAATAATAACTTATACAATAAGCAAAAACAAGGTACCTTGAGCATAAGATCTAGGTGAGATGGTGCAGGCCAAAATCGCATCCAAGGTAAGGTCAACAAGTTTGTATGCACAACAGTCAATGTATGTTCTTTGATAGCAGTGTGAGCAAAGTGTGACACATAAAATTGCCAAATGTAGCCCAAAAGATTACTGCTGGCTGAAAGATTATTTTTACAATATTAATGACAATCCATCTTTCACCACCGCCTACCCAAAACAAACAGAAAATGGGGGAGGGAGGTACCTTACCTGGTAAGGTGTCTAAAACAAATCTCATAACTTCCACAAAGGTTCCCATGATACGTTGAGCATAGGATGCATCTCCAACAATCCAAGGTGGAAGAACTGAGCGGTCATCTGTCAGTTGCTGGATCCAAGCAGCTGTTGGTTCTGATAACTGATCAGTCCAATATGGAGCAATCCAAGGGAAGAACATGGCTGACACACTAGGCCATAATTGTTCAACAACTGACACATGAAATAAGAGAAAATGTAAGGAGAAACACAAATTTCAAAATAGTCACATAAATGTGAAAATATGGTAAGTGTAATTACGTTTATTTGATATCACGCCTTGACCATTTTGCAAAGTGCTGACAACTAAAGAGTGGGCAATGATTCCTAGAAAGATGGCTAGAGCGTCAACATACACACGGTACTTGGGATACAACCCATAAAGACCATATTGCAAACGCTCGCGGTTGAAATGACTTGCCAGAAGAGCTACAGTCTCCAACAACTGAAACAAGATATTTACCAATAAGCAAAAGAATAAACGTCAACTTAGAGTAAAAAATTAACACCAACCTCCTGGTGCTGCAGTAACTTTTGGTTCACAGCATACAATCGTAAGTCTTCCATTATACGACCTGGATTCATATTAGGCCCAATTCGTAACAATGGTGAAGATCCAGGCCCAACTTGTGGAACACCCAGAGTCAAGATGACGTTGATCACAGAATACCAAACATCAGGACACAATGATTGACTCTCACTTGTTTTAAGAAGTAAATTTAATACAGAATTAAAGTGCAAGGGGAATTTATGTTTGAGCAGTAACCGAATATGGTTGCAGAACATCTGCAAGATAGACAAACATAGAATTTGAATCTTCTGGGAAAACAAATAATCAAAGCAATTTATGAAGCAAAACTGTACCTCATGAAGAATCTGCTTTTCCTCTGCTGGAGTAGGTCCGATTGCTGTTAAAGCCCGACCCACATAATTTATGAATTCGTCACATTCACTTAAATTTGGGTTTCCTTTTGAGAGCCACTGACCAATGTCAAACTAAAAACAAAATCAAAATAATTATAAACTACTATAAATTTAATTAAAAAGAGAGACATAATGAATGAATAAAGATATTCACCTTGGATAAAAGGACAAAGCTAAGGTCAGCATTTGGCTGAACAGAAATGTCCACCACAGACTTGTACATGATGAGAAACACAGGGGTAGCAGCAATAGTCGGAGTGAAGTGGGGACCCAACAGGCCAGCAAGGCGAGGAAACTGGACCATGCACGCCAGCAAACGCTCACACTCACATTCTTCTCCACTGATAAATACCTTCGAGGAAAATAAGAACACAGAGTTAGACCCCACCCAGCACCAGATCCAAAATAATAAAACTCCAGAAGGACTGAAATGAAAATTCACCTGGCCTAAAGACTCCAGGCAGGTGGTGAAAAGTTGTTTGGTGGGAGGATAAACTGCAAGGTCCTCATTGTACCGTGAAACCAAATGGTAGAAAAGTTCCACTCCAACTGTACGCATTCTCTGAGCTGCCAGGGCTTCACTCACACCTTCATTGCGCAAAGCAAGGTATTCATTAGATAGAGCTTTTATTGTTTGCTCTATTTGAACACTGCTGGCACAAACTTTGAGAGGTGGGGGCTGCATGGCCCTGGTGATTAGAGCATCACAGTCGTTACGATTTTGGTTGATCATGTGCTCTGTGCGATCACTCACACGAGCCTCCCTTATCTACAATCAGAAATGATGGAGTTGATACATTGATCATTCAAATGGTTCAGTGAGTTTGCATTAAAATCTCAGATTTCAAACCTTAATGCGAATTGTTGCAGGTCCTGCACAGGTCACAATATTCTGATGGTTGTTTGAGTACCCCTCACTCTGACAAGTAGCTTGGAGTGTAACTTCTGTCTTGACATCAGAATACAAAGAAGGGACTATCTGCAAGAAACTGCAGTCAAGAGCGTTGTGTTCAGCCATACGCAGAGCATAGAGTTGGGCATATTCCAGCACTATCCTAATGGACTCCCGCAAAGCATCAAAAGTAGCATTCTGGCTTTGAAAGGCTTCTGGTTTGACAGGGGGAAGCACAGCTTTGAAAGGCTTCAGGGCAGGAGGACCTGCTGGAGTGTCATATGATTGAAGTCTGTAAAATGTAAATAAATGATTACTTCTCAAGAAGATCCTCCACATATTTAAGAGAACATTGTTAAAAAATTATAATACCTCTTCAAGGTGCGTTCCACAGGATTCTTTCCTTCATCACGGTTGTGACTGTGAACAGGTAGCTGCTTTGATTCAACAGAAGGAGAGGATGGACTAATGGCACGGAATTGAGAAGATTCCCATTGCTGAGCTGATTTCTTCTGTTCTTCTAAAACAGTCTTATAATCCATCAACTCAAGCCACAATTTCTGAAAGAAGAATAACAATAAAATTAGACTATGCTGCCAAATGACCATTGTGAAAGATTTTTGTTTTCTACTTTAGATCCATCCAATTCAGACCCTCCTTACCCTATCTCCTTGTAGAATGGTTGCAAGTTTCTCTGCGTTGTACAAAGGAGGCAATGCAGGTAGGTAAAGTGTGGGTTCATGAAGCCGTGGTTCTTCCAACCAAAGACCTAAGGTCCAAATCATCCTAGAAACAACAACCTTTTAGTAACAACAATTTTCGGTATGAGGAGTGACTTTAAAAGCAGCTGACACCTACTTTGATGTATTTTCAAGCCAAGTACGCCTCTCAGGATCATCAGTTTTGCAGTCATCAACAGCTGCCCAATAAAATTCTTTACACTCCTGCAATCTCTTCTTTATACGTTTCAGGTAAATAAGATTTACCATGCCTTCAAAGAACTTTGGACCAACACTCCCCACTTCCTGGCCCCTACAAGAGAGAAACCAGGCACCATCAAGGATAAGATGAAGTCATGACTATTTACTGTTACAGGTTTAAATTAAACTTACGATGGAGTTGGAACCCGAGATAAAAATTGCAAAAAGAATTTTTGCCAGAAGAGAGGAAGGAGAGGATGATCCATTGGAGTATCAAGAGCTTGTTGAGACCAACGGTAAATACTCAACATTGTTGACGGAGGGGCTGGTCTCTTCAATGTACAACATGCCTTCTGAAATTTTAAAAAGTGGTTGCAAGTAAAATAGAGAGGTGAGCTTTACTTTCAGTTTTCTGAAATACATTCAGTAGATTTTACTTTGATGGCACTGTCAACAGAGGGCTTGCCCGTCATAGATGCAAGTTCCTTTTGGACCTCCTTCCACAATCCAGTCTTGTCTTCAAGTTCCTCCTGTTCAATCTCCAAGGCAAAGAATGCGAACCACGGTCCGTCAGGGCAAGACACAGCCGGCAGGAGAGGGGAGCCAACTGCAGTCCCAGATGAAACCCAGCTCATGATGGAAGAGAGGGCTCCTCCCTGTCGAGAGCCCAATCCTGTCTAAACATAAGATGAACAAAATTAACTTCAAAAGAGAAGAACTGAAATGTGCAAAGCAAGAAAAGCAACACACTGCAAATATGTTTTAAAAAAAAAAAAAAAAAAAAGGAAGAAAACATACAGTATTTCTGAGTGAAAGCCATCAAAAACAATTATAAAAATACGCAGAAAAAATACTGGCAGGACGTGCAATAAAAAAATAAAAACAGTCATGGTGTGTTTTTTAAATGCCTACAGTGCACAAATAAATTACAAGAATCAAGGATCTTAAAGAGACTAACCTCTTCATCTCGTCCAGTATATGTTTTCTGAGACAGCAAAAAGAAAATTTTAACAGAGAAAAGTATATTAGGAATATGTTTGTATAGATTAACAAACTGATTCCTGACTCTTTCCTATAAAATGGACATTAGAAAATAAAGTCTTACAAACCTGGAAAAGTTGTCTGAGGTGGTCATAGGCAATTTTCTTAGATTCTGGGTCAAAGAACGCTGTCCTTAACACTATGTCCAACAAATAAAGTGCACCCTGATTGCGAGCCCAATCTTGTACATTGGTGAGGACTTGAAGCCACAAAGATACAAAAGTGTGAGGGCCTTCCTGGTTGTACCTAGGTAAAATCAAATCATACAATTATTAATTTTTGACTTGCATGAGAGTTTTAAATCAAACTGTCATCACGGAATTAATGACTTAAACTTTACCTTCGGAAATAGTGCAAATGACTCTGGATCATGTTCCCAAACTGATTAATAATTGGGCCAGGAAAATCAGACACAATCAAATTTTTTGCCATTTTCACATAAGTTCTATCTGCTTGAAGTAAGCCATTCAACACTGTTTGAAACCTAGAAAAAGAAAATGATTCCTTTGAACCCACCTTCATTACAGGAAAATATCAAGTTAAAATACCTATTGCAATGACTGCACTAATTAAAGGAGCTTGAACTTACTTCTCAGTTTCTAAAAGTGATGGTACACATTCAAGAAACAAGGGCATAATATGACGCAGTAATGTCAACACAGCTTCATAGCGACCACATGAAAGAAGGTGGCACAAATGATTGAAGCCTAAAACATAAGCACAAAGTATAATGTTGGGTACTTCAGAGACAATCCATTTTTGCGTGAACATTCAAATTTCACTTTACAAACCTTGCATACAAATTTGCGGTACACTGTGACCCACTTGAGTAATTGCAACAACCGCAAAACTGGCAACACTATGTCCTTGCTTGACTCCCAAAACAAGTTCAACAAGACTATCTACTTCCAGATCAGGGACATGGTGAAGCATTTCATTTAAATTAACCATTGCAGACCACACTGTGGATTCTGATTGGTCCAGTAAATGCAATCTTAATTTTGCAAACATATCCCACACCCATTGCAGAAATGCTTGCTCTGCTGTTTGAGCTCTTACCATAGACGATACCTGCACTCAGAGAAAATATTGAAACCATGATTAACTGTGTGTTACAAAAGGGGGCCACATTGCCTGTAATTTCCAAAAATAGAAAAGTTGCCAACCTGCTTCAAACCTTCTGAAATCATTGCTGTGCTTCCAGTAGCATCAGGAACGTATTGAAGAGCAGCCTTGAGAACCAGTATTGCAACATCTCTGTGCAGTTGAGGAACCAGGAACAGATCTCCACTATAATTGCTAGAAGAGAAAGGAATTCTCTTGAGATACGCCTTGAAATGTAATTTATAGATTCAGATAAAAGAAAGACATACAAGCCCCAGTTGAGGTTGGTAAGGATATAGCGAGCCAAGTTATTTTCTGGTGATGTCAGAGGGAACCGTAAAAGCCACCTAGTTATAATGGTCACATCATCTCGCACAGGTTGCCAGTGATTTAATGGGAGTTCCCGGTAGAGGTACAGACTTAGCTGAAAGTAGAGGTACACATATTTTGCAATGATCCAAATAATCAGTTTACAATTGACGATTCCAAGAGAGGGGAAATTGTTCCCCGCTCACAAAACATTGACCTACTTTTCCAGCAGCAGAGAAGTTTTCAGAAAGCCTTGTTAGAATTTCAGACAGGAGCGGGGGATGTTTAGCAACCAATCCACTCAGGAGAATCCTAACAGATTTAGAACAGGCCTCTTGAGAATTCAAGCTAAGAAAACCAATCTAAAAACATACAAGAAATTTAATTATTATTAAAATTTAGAGTTTAACTTATAACAAAAACACATCCAGAAAATTTTATTACTCTACCTGTAATAGATCAAGACAAGCTGCTCGAATAAACGCCCAGTCATGATTGTGCCTTGAAAGAGCCATGTTGGCAAATGTTGTCAGAAGGTAATAAGATTCTGAATCTGGCATGGACGTCAAACGATCTTCCAGCTGTGCTCTGAGAGAAGGATTGTACACCTTTGCCTCCCAATCTAATAAAAGGTTAAGAATAAGTTAAGTAAACTCATTAATTATATTATTAAAATGAATAGATATGGTAAATTTCCTCACCCTCATGCTGATTACAGTTTATGATGGCTTCTTCATTTTGGTCCTCTTCATGGAGTGCATACCAAAGTTGCCACAGAGTAGTTAGAGAGACCATATTATATGGTAGGATAGCTAGAAATTGCCAGGCGCCTAGATGTCGTGAGGAATGAATGCAATTTGTGGCACGAACTAGGAAAGCATCATATTCCACCTGCAGCCTCAAACCCATAGCAGGGTCAGTTTCGTGAGAGAAGGTTTCACTCAAAATCTGCCATAGATCAGTGGCATATTGAACAGTGTGTCTAACAAGACGGCCAAGTCTCTTGGAGAGCTGCCTATATCTAGGTACAGCAAGAGCCTCCAGACCTCTGCGCAAAAGCCGTACAAGGACAGTGCTAAATGAAAGAAGTCGAAGGAAGTGTTGGGGTGTAACAGATGCACCTGTCCAAACATCATTACTCTCCCCTTTCTCAACACAAAGGAGATATTGAAACATTGGTCCAATGGCGACCTGATTTAGGAGGGCTACCAAGTCATTTTCCCTCAGAGCAACTGAATTTTCTCCATCTTCATCTCCCTCCTCATCCTCTCCATCTGAATCAAGGACAATCCAAGCATCTGTTGTTCCACTGAACTCTCCTAGCGAAGCTCGAAACTACAAAGAAAATAAAGTTGTCAAAAGGAGATAATAAAATTAAAATCAGAACTTCTAATGTGGAAATGATAAAAGCTTCTCTTACTTGTTCTAGAAATGCCGCTCTCTCTCTAATTGGAAGAATTATAGTAGCAAGAGCAACCATGACATGATCAATATAAGGGCTGTCAAACGGTGAATTTGCCCCTGGACTTGAAGGACAGTACTGCGGGACTGGAGTCTGTACAAAATTTGAAGCCCATTGACCTACACCCGCAGGACATCTAGAAAATCAAATTATTCAAGTTAGAATCAAAGCAAATAAATGTCAGAGAATACTCCACAGAAATCTTCAACAAACCTCAACACATGGTTAAGGAGAAACATGTGATCTTGCCAATTACCAATACGGACTAGAATGGCAACGAGACGAGACAGCCAATCTTGAGTGTCTCGTACAAAACGCTCATCTCTCATTGGCCTTCTTTGGAAACTGAAAAGTATTGCAATGCATGTTCGCAGATCCATGACAGACTTTTCTAAACTGCAACAGGATAAAACATTTTCAAATTCACCTTCAACTTCAATTCGAATGGAGTATAAAGTCACAATTATGGAATACCCACTTTGATGTATGAGGGCCAAGAGTGAGGCTGGCTCCAGAATTTTCAGATATCGATAAAAGTTCGGGACAACTCTGTGCAACATTTTGAATTAAGCCTTCTATTTGTAAACGAGCAGCTTCACATGAATAAGCGTCCAACGAATGTGTAATGTTCACAAGCTCTCTCATGCCTGCCAAGATGCGTCTCAACTGCGATAATGTTGGACGGTTTAGTTTGGACATTTGATAAACATGGCTGGCTGATACTGGGTTTCCATCCTGGCATTCCCCACTTTCAGTGATGGTTGTGGTTTCTAAAATCCACAAATGGCTCTGCTTTTCTTTACTTTCTTTCTTATTTGCCTCTAATTCCATATGGTTAATGACAAGTCTGTTAATAGAGCGCAGGTAAATAACAAGTAGGTCATGTAAGGGGTGAGTATGTTTAGAGGACGGACGCAAATGTGCCTCCACAAAGCTGGAAACAAATTCCATACAAGCATCAAGCTCTTGGTTGGAATATAAGGCAGAAAGTTCATCATCACTGAATGGCTTAACAATCAGCATATTTGCTTCCTCATCTCCCCGTCTTTTATTGCCCACTTGTGCTTGAGACCCTAACACCATGCTTCTGTGCTGGGCAGTCAATGCTTGTTTGTTTTCTTTCATGTCTGCTGCACGAGACAAACTTGCTGCATTTAGCCCAGAGGTAACAGCCTCAATTCCCTCTTCAACGTCTCTTGCAGTTTTAACCTTCTGAAGTTGTTTAGAAACAGAACTGTATGGATTTTCAGAGGGCCTGTTTGTAACTTCAACATTGTTTTTTTGTTCAGTTAAGACTAGCTTGTGTACAGGGGAGTTAATTTCAATCAAAATGTCCTCGGCAACCTCTGGCCTTTCAAGTTTCTCCTCCGGAGCTACAACAGTAGCTGCACCAAGATCAACATGACAGTCATTTGATGAAGTCTCTTTTGGACCCTCTTCAGAAGCACTGCTTGCTGTTTGAATGGGCGAAGCTTCAGTAGCAGATGAGAGGAGAGGATATTCTTCTGTGTCTGAGAAGACAGGCTCTCCTTGATTGGAACTTTTTGAGTCCTTTGCTGCATCAGCCAATTCCTCTTCCACTACATGACTTGGAGAAGTGGGAACCTCTTGGTATGAGATAGATGAACTAGCTAGATCATCTTGTATGTGAGTCTCATGAGTCCTTTTGGATTTAGATTTCTTTTTGGGCTGAAACAGGAAAGTTTAATGAAATGAATTGTTTGCAAGATTGATGTCCAAATGCCACAAACTTTCTTATCTAAGCCACATGTCAGTCAGAGACCGACAAAGTAGAATGAAGATAGTTTTACGGGCTTCAATCACTGCTGCTGACAATAATAATGCGCAAAATACACGTGTTTTGAATTTCCGTGTTTAGGCTGCACAACAAGCAGATGACGACAAAGACAGAGGTTATGGTTTCTTGTTGTTCTATGTCCTAAAGAGCAGTGGCAACGCTTCCCACCCAAAGATACACACATAGAGATTAATTTCAATCGTCGATACAAACCTGGCGCGACTTGGTTTTCTCCATCGTCGCCATCCTATCGGATAAACGGCACAGTAATGCCCCGTGTTATCTCCCTGTAACTTCCCTCTGCTTTGTTATGACACACCACCAGCAGAAACCACAAGCGCGTTCCCGAACACGCCTGCGGTCTTGTGTGGTCGAAGTCTCGAGGCGGACTCGGAGAGTGGAGCGCACCCTCGTAGCGCGGGAAAGCGCGCGCCATTTGACTGGGTGCGCGTTCGGGGCACCGCTGCCACCGCCTTCCGCTGCAGGCTGTACGTACGCATGTTCTGTTTGCTAATCGGCACAAATGGGCGGCTATTACGTGGAATGGTCTATGGACCAGGTGCGTCCAGCGACGGGATGAGCGTCCCCGCCTGTTTGCCCCTCACCCCGGCAGGTGGCGCCTGCGACGTAGGCCACCCACTGGGCCAGCAACGCACCGTTGTGAGGACGGTGGCCTACCTCGCCCCTGAACACCGCGCAGACGACCTTGCGCTTGAACGCGTGCGGACTTACACTCCCATTAGTAACGTTCTAGCGTGGTCCCTTGGACCGCAGCCTCGCGGCCTCCCCTCGGTGCCCCTGGGACTTTTCATTCCGCAGAACGCCCCTCCCTCCCACTCCGGCTGCTCCGGGCCGGCGGCGACTCGCCACCGCCTCGCGCCGCCATGCCGCCACCCTGCCGGGGCTGGGGCCTCTGGGGCCTCTGGAGCCTCTGGAGCCGCGGCCGGAGCGCAGTCGCTCTCAAACCGCGACCCGAGACCCGCGACCCGCGACCTGCGCCGCCGCGGCCCCGCCGTGGTGATGCTCTAGTCCGCGTCGAGCGCCGTGTCCGCGGCACTGCAAGACGGGGCCGGCTGCTGGACTATCGCTAGGCCAGGTAGGCGTCCCAAGCTGACTGATTCCGAGAGTCGTTTTCCTCACTCTGTCTCTCTCGCACTCATGGAGCGTCGCCCACAGGTGAAAGAGAGACGTAACGACTCTCAAAAGTCAGTCTCGGAATGCAGGTGCAAAACGAAATACTACAGTGTCGAGTGATGATGTTCTACCGAGGGACTTTTTAGGCAAGACTGTCTCTTGTTTGTGGAGTATTCACGACATAATCCCAGTGATTCGGTGCTTCGAGAGTCTCCGCAGTCGCTGGCGAAACAGACGGGTCAATTTCCTTCCTGTCCTGTCGTAGCCGTGAACGCCCCCGCCCCCGCGCTGACCAGTCCAGCCAGGGACTGTTTCCAAGTGGCGCGTCGTGCCCGGCGTGCCGGCGGGTCGTGCCCGGCCCGTGCCGGTGTAGCACGGCCGAGCAGCGCCGAGTGCGGCAGAGTCTCGGTGGCGAAACAGCGCATGTCCTGCTCGTGCCTCGTGCCCCCGCTCAAAGGACCTGGCGGTCGTGAGCTTGGAGGCAGCGCGCTGCGCCGGGCGGCTGGGGCTCTCGGTGGCTCGGCGGCGCGGCGGAGGCTGGCGGAGGTCCTCCCCGAGACCGTCCGACCCGGCGGCATCCAGCAGCGCGGCCCCGGTCGTCCTACCCCATCCGCGGCATATAAGGAGCCCAATTGCAGGCCGCTTGCCCCGGGCTTGCCCCGGGCTTGCCCGCCGCCAGCCGGCCACACGACGCCCGACTGCCCGACTGCCTGCCTGACCCCGAGCCGTGTGAAATCGTGAGGCAGATCTGGCTTGCACACGCGCGGTTAATGCGCCCGGCCTGCAACCTGCAACTCTATGACTTTCATCAAGTTTCGCGCGCACGACCGTTCGCCGCCACGCCGCCGCCGTTGTCGTCCTTTGCGTTTATTGCTATTCACAGAGGAGCGCGCAGTTTCGGCTGATTTGCATACACGTGGTGGGACAAGCCGACAAGCCACCTCGACCTGCGACAAGCGACTACCGCGTGTAAGACTGTGTGTGTATGTGTTTTGCAACGTCCAGCCCCGGTGTCGTCGCGGCTCCAAGTGCACACGTGTGTGTGCGCGCGCGCGCGCGTGTGTGTGTATGTGTGTGTGTGTGTGTCAGGCGTCATCCCGATAAACTCTCGGGCCGAGTGGGCGTCCTGTCCCTCGTTGTGCTGTCCCAGTGGTGCCCCTCCCCTTCCTCGCCCCGCGTGCCGCGTGCGGTTCTCACGCACCCTCCCCCTCCCCCTCCCCAACCCCCGTCGCTCTGCTGGCCCTGCTCGCACTCCCAGGCTGCGTCCGAATCCAAGCGTCCAAACCGCCGAAGGTGCGCGGCGGTCCTCCTCCTTATCGTCCCTGCAGACTGATTCCGAGAGTCGTTTTGTCGCTCTGTTTCTCTCGCACCCGCGTGGGACGCCCCGTGAGTGCGAGAGAGACAGAGCGACGAAAACGACTCTCGGAATCAGTCTGCTGCGGACCGCTGGCGGCGAAACGTGACTCCGGCGGGGACTCTGATTGTGCCGTCGCCGTCGCGACACACAGGTGCCTCAAATAAATCTTTTATTTCTTCTTCTGCTCCCTCTGCGGCTGGCGGTTGGTGGCCTGGCGGCGGAGGATGCCCTATAACACGGGGAGGCTGACGAAGAACGAAGTCACTCGCGTTCCTGGAGCATCGCCGCGAAAGCGCCCCTGCACTGCAAGTGCACTCGGCCTGGCGGGAAGCATAAAGGACACCATGCCCTAGGACGCCTGTCGTGCTCGGCGTCGTGATTCGGCCATGTGGCTGCCGCGCTGCCGCGCTGCCATCCGTCATCCCGGCGGCGTCCTGGGAGTCCTGAATGCGGCTAGGCCGATTCCCAACAGAGCTTTCGTCGCTCTGCCTCTCTCGCACCCACTGGCGGCTCGTGGAGGTGCGAGCGAGACAGAGCGAGGAGAGCTGTTCGGAATCCGACGGCAGGAGGCACACATGGCGCTGGGGCTTCACAAAAGCTCCTCGGGCCGTGAGCGAAGCCTAGGGACCTGGCCGCCGGGACCCACACCTAGGCTAAGCAAGCGCATATAGACGCCCATATTTTCACCCATTGTGTGGGAACAGACAGCCCGGCCGCAGCCTCGCCGCGCCACGAGGCGCCACGCCTCCGGGGCGCACTCGACTGCTTCGCGGCGGCGTCCTGGAGGACTCGCGGGGGACCGGCGAGGATTCCACCCGGTCGTCGTCTCCGTCGGGGCGCCCAGCCGTGGCCGTCTCTCCCTGGGCGTCGTCGGAGGCGCGGCGCTGACCACCAGTGCACCAGTGCCTGGCCGAGTATCGCCGAGTATGGGGTCCCTCGGGGCCGCGGCGGAGCAGATGCGTTGCGGTCGAACTGCAATCAAACTAACGCGGAGCCCCAGCCCCGCCCCGCCCCGCCCCGCCCCCGCCGAAACGTGCTCGCGGCGCGGCGGCGCGGCGGCGCGGCGTGGACCCGCGGGGCCTCCAGAGCCTCGTAGAGCAGTGCCTTGATGCCGGCGGCGTGCTTGCAGGTCTCCCCGAGCGCGGCGCGGCCCGCGCGGCCCTTCGCGGGGGCAAGCGGCGCTACCGGCTGCGGCCCGCAACCTTCAATCATCAATCACCACGGGGAGGATCATCTTCATCATCTCCAGAGGAGCGGCGCGCCACGTCGGTGACCCTGCCCCTGCTCGGCGCGCCACTGCGGGGCTGCGCCACTGCGGGACCATCATCAGCTCTAGATGAAAGCAGCGCGGCCTCGCCAACATGCTGGTGCTGTGGACCATCCTGCTGGCGTGCGCGCCGGGTCAGTAACCAAACCGCTTCCCCGCGAGCGAAACATGAAAAACAAGTGACGAAAAAGTTTCGCGAAATTGTTTTCGACGTCGCGAATAGCCGTTCTCGGCACGACACGTTGTACAGGTCTCCGTGCAGCAGGGGTGCTCCATTTCCAGCCTGGACGCCACCGGGGCGTCGTGAGCGATAAAGGGCAATAAAGGCCACGCCGGCCTGCAGCGGCAGTGGCGGCCAGTGGCGCCGAACGCCCCCGCCTCGCCCTGCCCTGCCACCACACTGCCATCGCGGTTTCGGCTTGCCCGCTCCGCGTTTGATGAGAGGCGCACGTCTTCCTGGTTCGTTTGCGCCGATTGGTCGCCACAGTGGCGTGCCACAGTGCCGTGCCCCGTGCGGCCGCGGGGGATGCGCCATGCCATCGCCATGCCATCGCCATGCGGCAACCGTGGCGGCGCGGTTTGACCCGGTCGGTCCTGACGGTCCTGACCGCGGCCAACACATCCGCGCGACGAGCAGCGACGAGCAGCAGATGGATTATTCGCAGTTGTGGCAGGCAGGCAGGCAGGGAAAGCCCACAGCTCACAGCGCGCAGCAGTCGGCGGATTCCGAAACAGTCGTTTCGTCGCTCTGTCTCTGTCGCACTCACGGGGGACGTCCTGGGAAGGGCGCGAGAGAGACAGACAGACAGAGCGACGGAGCTCGGCTCGGCAGGCCACAGGCGACCAGGCGGCGCCCATTTATTTTCATTCGCAGGGAAGCCGCAGCCGCAGTGCGGCGCACTCGGCTAGTTTCTCGTTTCTCCCCGATGCACTCCCAGTGCTCTCGCAGTGCCTTCGCAGTGCGTCCCAGTGCTCTGGCAGTGCACTCCGCGCGGGGCGGCGCCTCTGCCGCCACCGGCCGCCACACTCGACGTGGGAGCCAGGCCGGTCGGCTCGTCAGGCTGCATTTCCAGTTATTGTTATTGCATCGCGTCTCCGCGTCTCGCTGTGAGAAGAGAGGCCGAGTGAAATCCAATGAGTGCTTATTATTTCATCCCGCAGGTGGACAGGCCGCCATCATCCCGGACCAGGTGGTGTCCTTCATGCACATCCTGTACTCCACCATCCCCGTCATCCGGAAAGGTAGGCCGGCCGGGTAGGCTTGTCGTGGGCGGGGCGGCGGGGCGGCGGGCCGCGACATTTCGAGTCGGCGCGCCGAGAGCCGCGACCGCCGACCGCGTCGCGATGAGGGCACGGTGACGAGGCTGGTTGTCGTCGTCGCGGTGTCGTCCGCGCCGCGCCGCGCGGAGGGCTGGTGCCGAACACTGTTCGTCGCTCTGTCTCTCTCGCACTCACAGCGCGTTCCACAGGGGTGCGAGAGAGACAGAGCGATGAAGGCGCTGTTGTTCGGAATGAGTTGCTGCAGCTGCACTGTGCCTCACTGTCACTCCGAGACGGAGTCGGATAAGGCGCACACTGCCGCAAGAACGCAGGCGCGCGCGAGCACCTAGAAATGCCCGTACATGCCCGGGCCGGGCCCGCGCTTCGCTGCACCGCAATGCGATTCCGACCCGTCCTTACGGCCGCTGCAGTAACAGACAATAGAAGAGCGAATCCGTTTAAAGTGCAGAGGCAAAAAAACAACAACAAGGCACTCGCCGCTCGCGTCGGCACGTTCTCGCGGGACGCGGGTTGCGGGTTCGAGTCCGGCGGGTCGCAAGGCAGTTTTTCTCGGCGGCGCGGCGGCGGCGCGTGCTGCCGGGGAAAGCCTTGCCAGCGCGTGGCTAGCACCGCGCAGCACCGCGGCAACGGTCAAAATGACGTCGCAACACACAGACACACGGGATTGTGGTCACAAAGGTCAGCTGGGTCACCGCGGCTTGGTCAATGCGAAGTGCCTTACTAACCTTCACTGCACCGCAAGAGAAAGAGGGCCAGGGTGTACTGCGGCGGGATTCGCTACTCTGCGAAAGCGGCGCCCACATTCCTGGCGCCATAGACAAGCCGCGGATGGCGGCGTCCTGGAGACGCGCCCTGGCGGCGCCTCCTGGAGACGCACAGTGGGCCAGAAGACCGGTAGAGGCGACCAAACTTCTAGACGCGTTTTGAGCCCCAGAGTCGCTAAATGGGACTCGAACCGAACGTGTGACCCCCACCAATGGATTGCTCTTCAAACTCTGCAGCTCAAAACGCGTCTAGAATTTTGACCGCCCTCACCGGCCCTCTGGCCCTCTGTGAGACTGGAGACTGGAGACACCGGCCCTCTGGCGGTTGCAGGCACCGACTCCCGAGTGGGCTTCGGCTTCCGCTTCGGGCCGCACGCCGACGCCCAGGTGCTGCTGGAGCTGGGCCCGCAGAAGCGCACCGAGCAGCTCACGCAGATCACCACCACGACGGCGGGGCCCGACGACTTCCAGTTCGGCGTCGGCAAGCGCCACCTGGGGGACCCGCTGCACGACGGCGACGGCGACGCGCTGCCCGAGCTGGGGCACAACCACATCCAGGGACGATCGGTGAGCACGGCGACGGTGGGGGTCATGGTGCCGAATGTGCCGAGCTGGGCTCACTCTTGACTTCTACTCTGTGCAGTTCCAGCTGGGGGCTGCGTCCCAGGAAGCCCCGCCTGCTGTTGACGGCAAGGGTGGCGAGTGGCTGTCTCGCTGGCGTGCGGCGTGGCCTGGCGCCGCCTCCAACCTCGTCCCCAGTGCCGCCCCCAGTGCCGCCCCCAGTGCCGCCCCCGCGCGGGCCGGCGTGACCTCGCAGAGGACGGGCCGAGGGATGCGGATCGCTCTGGCACCGCCGACGCGACCGCCGAGCACTGCAGCGCCCCCGCGAACACAAAGGCAAGGAGATAGGCATCGAGCAAAGCGCAGCAAGGCGCCACTCCAGGAGCCTTGCGAATCGGTACATTCGACGTGGGACGCCCGTGTGGGAACCTGTACCAGTACTTACCTGTACGGCGTGGCCGCGTGGCCGCGTGGGTGCAGTCGTTAATTTCGAACGAGTGAGAGTCATGTTCAAGTCCCCCACATTCGTGCGAAACTGCCTGGCTAGAAACTTCGCGACTGTTCGCTGCGGGGGCTGGACTTATACTTACTTTTGTCATGTGGAAGTTTATCATAGATATGATGTTATCCTCTTAATGTCGACGTGATTCTTTTATAGATTGATGGATCCATTGCTTTCCTTAATGAAGCTTCAATTAGAGTCAGATCCCCTCCCCTCCCCCTCCTCCCCGCGGCCGTTCCGCAGCGGACAAGACTCCAGCAAGCAATCGCGATGCAATCAACGGACACACCGAGGCGCGGCGACTCAACTTGTGTGCTCAGTGGATGCCGCGGGCTGCAGGCAGGCGCACCGCGGGGCGCCCCGCGCGCTTGCAGCGTGCAGCCCGCGGCCCGCGGCCAGGGAGCAGGGAAAGCCTCGAGGCATGGCGGTGGCCCGGCCAAGGGCCCCGCCAAGGGCCCCGCCAAGGGCCCGGCCTAGGGCCCGGCCGGGACAGGTGTCAGCGTGTCAGCAGAGGACAGCCTGTCGGGTGAAAGGCGAAATTGGACCGATAGCCTTCTGCTGGGAATCGGATCAGATCAAGAAAAGGTCATGCCGACAGCTCCAGATCGCTGCTGTGCGTGGCGGAGACGGAGACGACTTCGGAGTGACGGAGTCACACTGACACGCCGAGGCCGCCCCGATCCCCGATGGCTCGTCTGATGGGCTACCGTGTTACAGGGCGACGCCGCGCGGACCCACGAGAGCGCCGCGGTCCGACGCGACGCCGCCGACGCCGTCTGCCCACCTGCGAGACGCCATGGCGCACCTGTCGACGAGGACGCCGACGGCGAGGACGTCCGGCCGGCCGTCCACGCCGCCCCCGCCGCCCCGCCAGCCCCGCCAGCCCCGCCAGCCCCGCCAGGGGGCCATCCTGCGGGCCCTGCGGCAGCTGTGGGAGGCCGGCGCCAGGGCGGCCAACTTGGGCTGAAGCAGCGTGGGGAACGTCAGCGCTGTGGCATTTGCCGGAGGATGACGCCTGGCGGGCAGGCAGTCCCGTCGCGCACCCGTGCATCGCGTGTCGCTGTGTTGCCTACCCGGCCGTTGGCAGGCGCTTTCCTCTACTCCGCGCCCAGCGCCTGCCGAGCTGCCTCGGCGTAGGCAACCCTTCCGCCGTGCTCCCGCCGTGTTGCCCCCGGTGTGGCAGGCGACCCAACGGACGCATCGGAGACGCCCGGCGGCTGGCAACCCATCGTACTCACCGCTCCGCGCTGCCCCGCGCTGCGCCGCGCTGCGCCGTGGAGGCCGGCAGCCCACCGCACTCGCTGCTAGCGTGCCGGTCTGCCGACCCGTCAGTGAAAGTGCTGCTTCCCGCCGGCCGGCCGCAGCCTTGGAGTTAGGCAGACCAACCGGCGGGCGATTAGCATGTGAAGAAGAGGAGGCGAGAACTTGCCGGGATGCGTTGCCTGTTGGCTCACTCTGGTTAACCACGCTTTATTCCATAACACAGACTATTCACAGAGGAGGGGACGCGTGGAGCCACCCAACGCGCCCGGCACTTCAAACTAGAACCAGACCACAGTCTTCAAGGTCTTCCAGGGAGGTCCGTCAGACAAATAGTTCGAGAGGACGTCCACGTCGGTGACCGCAGGCATCACGCAGCGGGACGTCCGGAGGATGACGCCGCAGCACGCATCAGCCTTGCTGGCCGGCCCAGTGCAGGCTCCGCAGCCTCTGCATGGCCTCCCAGCGCGCTTCCGCTGAGGTCCGCTGCGGGGCCGCGGGGGCGGCGAAGGCGGGGACGGCGACGGCGGCGGGCGCCCTCACGGGCCGCGGCCGGCCGTCGGCCACGACGCGCCTGGGCTGCGGGGGCGCCGGCACCCGGACGGGCACGGCGGCGGAGGCGGAGGCCGTGTTGACGCTGGACCGCCACCGGGACAGCCAGTCCGACTGGCTCGGCGGTGGCGGCGGTGGCGGCGCGGGGGCGGCAGCAAACGCGGCCGGGGCGGGCCCGGACCTCGCCGACCGGGCGTTGCCCAGCTTGTTGGCCTCCTGGTCCAGGGCCTGGATGTCGTCCGTGGGGGACCCACGCTTGGCGGGGTCGGCCTGCCGCTTGCCGCCGTTGGGGGCGTCCGTGTCCCCGATGATGGGCCGCGTCTCCGTCTGCGGGCCCAGCTCCAGCAGCACCTGCACGTCGGCGAACGGGCCGAACCGGTAGCCGAAGCCCACGCGGGAGTCGGTGCCTGCAAAGCGCAAAGCAACGCGTCAAGGATGTCGTCCACGCGTCCACGCTCACGGCACCGACGGGGTCGGCGGCGCACGCAACGCGAGCAGTGCAGTCCGCGGGCCGCTTGGCTTGGCGGGCCCCGTCGCCCCGTCCGCTATTGGTTGTTACCGACGGCGTTCCTCGAGAAATGGGTCAACCTGGCCGTTTAATAGACGCAGCCTGCAATCACGTCGCACTGCCTTGTTAACCGAGGCGATTTCTTTGACATATTAAAAAAGAAGTTTATATTTGTTGCGCTGTCGCCTCCTTTTCTTTTTTCAGTGTGGCCCCGCCGCCGCGGCGCCGCGGCTCGAAATCGCGACCGTCCGCGGGGACGGGCTTGGCTTTTCCCCGGCCGTAAGCACCATAAGCACACAGGTACGGGTTGCGGCCAGCCATTACTCATAAGCCTTTGCCGGGAGAACGATGTCTGGGCCGCTGGGCCGCCCCCCGAACTTCCCACAGGCTGGCCATGCCAGGCCATGCAATCCACCCACACAGGCGTATGTGCATGTACACTGTACACACGCGTCCCGGTTGGTTAGCCTGCGGTTGCCGCGGGCCCCAACGATGGGTCGTATAAAAAGGTCAAAGAGCGAACGAAAGCGATATGCGAAGCGAAAGCCCTCGGCGGAAGGAACAAACGGCAATAATGATTTGCCTAGACGATGCGCGCCACGCGGTCTGACGACGTCTGAGGTCTGACGACCGCGAGGCGCGCGCCGCGCCGCGGCGTACCTTTCTTGATGGGCGGGATGACGGAGTAGACGACGGTGAGCAGCGACACCAGCTGGTCCGGGACGATGAACGCCCCCACACCTGCAGAGACAGAGTGACGTCATTAACAGCCGGGTCGAGTAGCAAAATCCACATTCACATTCGCCGTTCCGTTTATAGGCATCATCAGGGCGGGCGTGCGTGGCCCTGCCCCGCCTGGCCCTGCCCCGCCCTGCCGGCCCGCCGGGCTTGATGAAGTAGTTTGTTTTTATTCCCCGGCCTGGCCTCGCGCCGCGACTCTGCAACTTATAGGACGGCGGGCTCGCGTCCACGTCCACGCGCATGACTGTTCATGACTGTTCATGACTGCCATCAGCGAGCCGCGAGCCGCGACGCGGACAAAAAGTGGAGCGGAAAGCAAAAAGACCGCTGCAGTGAGAAGACGTAATGCCAACAGGCCGATTCCGAGGACGTCTTCGTCGCTCTGTCTCCCTCGCACTGGTGGAGCTTCCCGTGAGGGTGAGGGTGCGAGAGACACGGAGCGACGAAAGTACTGTTCGGAAGCAGCCTGCTAGTGCGAGGCGAACAGCCCGCCGCTGCTCGTGTGACCGCGGCCAGCGGCTGGGATGACGAAAAGCTAATGGTTTTGAAGCGCCGCGCCGGCCGCGCGCACTGCGTCCACGACGCGGACCCGGCCACCCCGGCCACCCATTCGGCGGGGAGGCTGGCCCGGCTGGCCGAGACGGGTTGCCGGTTGCTCCCAGAGCCGAAGGACGGAGGACGAGAGAGTCCTTCGGCCGGCCAGGACGCCCACATCACATCCCAGTGGAGTGATTCCGAAGAGTGGCTTCGTCGCTGTCTCCGTCGCGCTCGTGGGTCGTTCCGTGCGCCGCGAGAGAGACAGAGCGACGAGTCAATCGGCTGGCGGCCCGTGGCGCGGGCGTCGTCGTAAACTGCGAGATGGCGGTGTGCCTCGCCCCGCGGTGACCAGGGTCCGGGCCACCGTGCCGACGGCAGGCTGCGTGGCGCGTCCGTGTCCGGTACACGGCCTTGGCCTCCAACGCGCTGCTGCAGAAGCCCGCCGACCGCCTGCAGGACAACACGCTGCCGGTCCTTCAATCTTGTTATTCTTATTTTCCTTTTCCTCTGCCAGACCCGTTGGCCGCGAAGCCGACACGTTGGATTCTCGATTCCAGTATTTTACGGGAAGGGTTTTGCCGCGAGCCGCGAGAGAGACTTTCCAGAAATTGTCTGGGAAGCGATGCAGCGCCGAGCTGCGTTCGTCGCTCGTGAGACATGACAGACAGGGCGACCTCGCGCCTCGCGCCCCCACTCCACTCTTTCCTGTCTTCGCCCCGCCACGCCCCGCCCGCCTCGACGCTTCAATGTGGACCGCCAGTGCAAACACGCACGCACACACACACACACGCGGACCAGAGGCGCCGACCTCTTAATGCAAATCGGCAGATACATATGAGATAAAGTGGTTTGGTGCACAGATGCATGGCCATTGATTTATACAGGCTGCTGCCTCGGGGCCCAGCCTAGCGGCCTAGCGGCCTAGCGGCCTGGCCTAGGCCGTGCTCCCCGCCAAGAAAGTACTCGTTCTGCAGCCGCCGAGAGCGGGGAGTGCTGTGGGGTGGGATCCGACCTGGATGTGTCTGACGGAGTGATCTTGATTTGCAGTAAATCGGAAAGCTCGCGCAACGTTCTGCACATGTAAACTGCGTAGAGCGGGGCGGGGCGGCAGGACGGCATTCCGAAGGCTCTTTCCCGGGTAAGGTGCTGGGTGGCAGCCGCTCCCGAGACAAGGACGTCCGCAGGTTCAAAACCCACGACGCCCATCATAAAAAAAAAACGTTTTCCGATATTTTCCATGCGTCGACGTCCTCCCGGTGGCAGTGGAGGGGCGCGGCAGCGCGGTGGCGACCACACGAGGCCAAGGACACGTACCGCGGGGAGGGGGGAGGGGAGGGGAGGGGGAGGGGGAGGGGGAGGGGCTGCTGTCCGGACCAGGAGGGAAGCCCATCCAAGGTAAAGAGCGTCGTGGCGTGGCGTGGCGTGGCGTGGCGTGGCGTGCCCACCGCGGCGCGGCGTCGACATCCCTGACGGCCGGCCGTCCAGCACGATCAGTCAATAAAGCGAGGAGACGAGCAGCAGGCGGGGCTGGCAGGGCTGGCAGCCCGCACCCGCTTTCCAGGATTTCACAGTGCGGTGCACGGATTGAGTCGCATCGGGCGAGACAGTTCCGGCGCACTAATCGCGTTGCGCGCGTTGCGCGGCGCACCCTCCGCCCTCCCTGCTCCTCGCACGCCGTGTGGGTCGGTCGGTTCAGTCCGCTTTCACTGCAAGCGGCGTCAATTATCCGCCGCAAAAGCGGAATGGCTAACGAAAAGCCGTGATACGCCACTTGGCGACTTGTCTCTCGGCGGCCATCGCGTCGCGGCGATTCGGCGTCCGCGGCGTCCGTCAAGCGGCGTCCGTCAAGCGGCGAGGCCAGCACGGCGACGGCTAATTGGGGCGGCGCCGCCGGCCGACTTGGAACGGTCGTCGCTCTGCCTCTCTCGCACCCCTGCGAGCACCGTTCGGACTCGGCCTGCAGGCAGGTGGCAGTGCACTGTCCGCGCGGCCATTAAGGGGAGTCTGTGTGTCTCGCGTGTCTCACTCAGCGCCGCGTGCGCAAAGTGCCGGGGATTTCGGCGCGGGGACCTCGGGAACACGCGTCAGCGCGGCGCGCCGAAATGACATAACGCATGACATGACGCCGAGCGTCAAAAAATCATGACAGATTGCCGTCCATTTTCGCGTCGAACGGCGACGTGCTTCCACCAAACGCACGAAGAGGACGAGGGCGACAGTATTTTTCAGTTGCTTTTGGCGGGAAAGCAAAGAGAGCCGTTTCGTGGAGCTCATCTTTTTCCCCGAGCGCATCTCTCTTGTCTCCCAAAAGTGTGCCCGCGCGGCTGGTGGCCGAGCCCTGGCCGGGCCGGGCCGAACCAAGGGCCGAACGGGAGCCGATCGGTAGCGGCGCGTGATCTGTCGGCGTTAACTCCCAGACGAACGCGCGCAGCATGGCAAGATGTACTAAGTGGGCGGCTGGCTGCGGCTGATTCCGAACAGTGCTTTTGTCGCTGTCTCGCTCTCATCGGGCGTCCCGTAGGGGAGCGAGAGAGACAGAGCGACGAAGGCGACTGTTCGGAAGCAGCCTTACTGGCTCCACCGCCGAATCCGCCGTGTGGTCCACGTCGTCGTCGTCGTGCCCGCCAACGCCGCCAGCCTCGCGCACTGCAGTCTCATTCCGAACGGTGCTTTCGTCGCTCTCGCTCGCACTCATTCGGCGTCCGGTGGGGGTGGGAGCGAAAGAGAGACAATGCGACGAACTTGGAATTTTCGGCATCGCTCGGCAGGGGCAGGCCTTTTCCCTTCGTGTGGTTTCTGCGGCGCGTCCGCGGCTCGGCCCTTTGAACCCATCCCATCCCATCCGCCATTGAAGCCTCCAGCCGCGGCACCAATCAAAGACATCTGTCATAACAGGAACGACCGTCGCAGCGAGTCGCTTGCGCCTTGCGACAGGGCGGCGAGGCGCGGTGAGGCGCGGTGAGGCGCGGCCACCAGCAGACTCATTCCGAGCGTCGCTTTCGTCGCTCCGTCTCCCTCGCACTCATGGGACGCGTCTTGTCGGTGCGAGAGAGACACAGCGACGATACCGACTCTCGGAATCAGTCTGCAGTTTCGGCCTTGCGACGCGCATGCGTTGGGGGGAGCGGCGGTCCTTTTTGGCGCGCGAAAAAGCGCGCGAACTCTGGTGCTCTCGCCTCGTCATCGCCCCGCCGGCGTGTTTCCTGCATCGGCCTGGCCTGGCGGAACACGAGAACACGGCACGGCACGCCGCACTCGCGGCAGGCTCGGCGGATCTCGGCGCTTGCCGGCTTGCCTACATGATTGCCTCTCCCGCGTTAATTCGAGCCGTGCAAGGCGCCGCGCGGGGAGGGGGAGGGGAGCGGCGTAAATCGGCAAAGGGCCGGGCGCGACAAGCTCCCTCCCCGCGAAGCCTCGCCGGGGAGATTGCGAATGGCATCAAGCCGGGCTAATGGAGGTTCCTGCGGCATGCCAGGGCGGCCAGGCAGGGCCAGGCAGCCAGTGCATGCTTTGCTTACACCCGCCCGGGTCGTTCGCACGTCGCACCGACGCACCGACGCACCGACACGACGGCGGCAGCGCGTGTGTGTGACTCGTGCGTGCGTGTGCGTGCGCGCGGGGAAAGGCATCAGAATGTTTAATTCAAAGCCACTGGAAAGAAGCCGCGGCGCGAAGCGCGAAGCGCGAAGCAAACTCGGACCAATAAATCTGAACGCCACTCCGCGCTGCTATGCTTCGCGCTTCGCACTGCTGTGACAGCATCGGCGCCTCGTCGCTCTGTCTCTCTCGCACCCCGGCGCGACGCCCCGCGAGTGCGAGAGGGACAGAGCGCCGTAAAGCACCGGTGAGAATCGGAATCACTCTGCGGCTTCGCAGTGCTGAGCCACTGGTCGTGGATTGAAAGCAAACGCGTGTCCTTGGCGATAAAGTCGGTCGCGGGCGGAGTGGGTGCCAAAGAGCGCATGGCGATGCGAAGGCGATCGAAGGCGATGCTTACTGGAGGCCAGGGCGGCGCCCCACACCAGGGCGAGGAGCCTCATGTTGGCGGCGGCGACGCGGCGACGCGGCGACTCAGAGGCCCATGGTCAGCGCGCTGCGTCCTGCAACAGAAACACGACGCCGTTTGAAGCATCCAGCCAGCCCCGCTCTCGGAACAATGCGGAACAAGACGCATGTAGGTAGGCTGTGCTCGCCGTGCTGTAGGGGCGGTGGGGTGCACTTGGCTTGTTTTCTCCCGGAATGAATGCAAACTGCTCGAATCGGCATCGGCGGGATTCGAACCCGGTCTCGTCCCACGCTCACCCTGCACCGGGAAACATCTATCTTTCTCTCTCTGGACCACTTCACAATGTAAGCCGATTCGCGTCGTTCGAGTCCGAGAGCGCACGCGCATGCCGCGGCGGCGCCTCCCTGCTCTGTCTCTCTCGCACCCCTGTGGGACGCCGCACGAGTGCGAGAGAGACAGAGCGGAGTTCGGCGGAGTGAGCCCGCCGCGGCGCCGCGACTTTCTTCCAAGTCAACCCGGCGAGTGACGCGTCGACGCGGCGCGGCCCGAAGGCCTCTCCTCTCCGCCCCGCCGCGCCGCGCCGCCCCTCCCCCGCGGAAGCCCATATTCGTTTGCTATTTGTCATGGTTTGTCTTGTCGGGGCGGGGCGTGGCGGCGGAGTGCCGGCGAGGTGTCGCCGGGGTGTCGACACCCAGGTGCTTGGCTGCTTGGCGCATCACGACGTCGGCGGCGGGTCGGCGGCGGGGGTTGCTTCCGCGCGCCGAGGCGTTGCAGGCCGAACCGAACCCATAAACACAGTGATCGTCCGCGGGGCGGGCGGCGGGCGTTTTCGAGTGGCGTGGTAATGACACGCTGCTCACGTGCTTTGCCTGCGGTCGCGCCGCTTCGCCGCGTTACCGCGTCGGGGTGGGACCAGCGCCACGGGGTGGTTGACGGGCCGGGGAGGTCCCACCGGCACCGGCGGTCCTGGAGGAAGCCCTGGAGCGCTTTCTCTGGATTGAACGCGCCGCGGCACGGCGCGCTTCACACTTGAATGGGGCCCGCTTGCCCTCGGCTTGCCCGCTTAGCAGGTCCTTCCCTCCCCGCCTCTGACGCATCGTCGTGGCGTGGGCGGCGGACGCCCAAGGCTAGCTGGCAGAGCATCGACAAAAGAGTCCCGTGTCCAAACACTGGTTGCTTTTTTCCTTGAGCCCTTGCCGTTCGGGCCTCGACGGGCCTCGCTCCTCGGCGGGTCCAGCCAGTCCGGCTCGGAGCAGCGCCTCGCGGACAAGGCCGACAAGGCCGCCGTGCAGGCGTTGCTTGGATTCCGCCTGGCTTCGCCCGCCACTGCACTGCCTGCCACGCCACTGCCGCTTAGCAGCTCGAAAATGTCGGCATTACACGACGAAGGGCGTCGCCGTGGCCGTGCCGCCGCCGAGCCCCTGATCACAGTGCGCGCCGGCCGAGTCCGAACGTCGTCGCTCTGTCTCTCTCGCACTCGCGGGGCGTCCCGTGCAGGTGCGAGAGAGACAGAGCGACGGGCCGCTGCACGGCCTGGACCTAGGCCTGGACTACGCGTCGCGCTGCGCGTGCCGCTCGGCGTGCCGGCCTCCGACAAGATCAGAAAACCCGCTTTGCGCTTGTATGGAGTTTTCACCGTCGGGGCGCTAATTATATATAGAGAGAGGCCCAATGCTCGGCGTTCGATGTGATACGGTTGTCTTGCGGGTTTGCTAGTCTAGTGTGGCCCCACTGACCTCGCGCCGCGCCTCGCCGCGCGTTCAGAGGTTCAGAGAGGCCGCCAGGCACCGTCAGGCACCGCCAGGCACCGCCAGGCACCGCCAGGCCGCGGACTCTCTAATGAGTACCGCGACAGCCTGGAGATGCACCGCAACACGCAGCTGCACTGCCCGTCTGTCTCTCTCGCACCCCCTAGAGCCCGCACTCATGCGCATGAGTGCGAGGGAGACAGAGTGACGAAGCGCCGTGCCGGATCGGCCGCTCACTTGAGCCACCGACTGGTCTGGTCATCACCGCGCGCGGTCCAGCGGCGGGGCGGTCTCAGAGACTCGTCTGGCGAGCAATCTATCTTCATCTGGCGCATTTTCAGGTTGCCCTAGGTTCCGCAGTGCAGCGGCGGTGCAGCGGGCTGGAAGCAGGAAACGCCCAAAACCAAGACGGGGGTGTGGTATCGGCGGTATTGCCGACGCAGTCCCGATACGAGGCCCTCGCCCTCGCCGAGGCCCTCGCCGCCACAGGAAACGCCACGCGGTTTGACTTGCGCGTACACTTACTTTCGTTGTGAAAATGCTTCGCTTCCTCTCGCAGGCTGTCTATGATGTGTACGCACGTTGGCGAGCGCCGAAACGCCTTGAGGGACGGCCCTGCCCTGCCCCGCCCCGCCCCGCCACGCCACGCCCCGCTGCTGGTTTAAAATGATTTCTTCATCGAGCCTCGTTTGCACTTGCACGCACGCGGTCTCGGCTCGCAGCGCTACGCGGCGCGAGCGGCGGGCCGCAGTCACCAACGGCACCTGCCGCGCGCCGCCGCCACCGCCTTCAATGACTCGGGACTTAAATAAAGAAATAACAGTTTACGCAGGCACGAATTCGGGGAAGGCGCCGCCCTCGGCCGCCCTGGGATGCCACCGCGGCCCACCACGCCGCACTGGGGTCGGCGGCAAAGGGCCGAGCGGTCCCAACTCCCAGCCCAAAACGCATCACGAAGACGATAAAAATCGTCGGGCTCGTTCCCCGATGGCTTGCTCTTTCCCAAACGCGCCGATGGCAGGTGATACGGGGTACTAATGGAAGCAATCTCCTGCGAGGCGCGATGAGAACCCGCCGCGCTGGCCTGCGGCTCGCGTGTGGCGTGCGCGCCAAGATTCTGACAATGAAAGGATCTGTAACATACGATTAAACGAGACCATACGAACTGCAATAAAATCCATCGTGCCGTACGATACATGATCCGCGATAGGGACAAATTGCCGCCACCCGTTTTGCGCCGGACGTCACCGCCGGATCGCGGAGAAATCGCGACGCGCACCGGCCGGGGTCCGACGGGGCCCTCCAAGGGGCCCTGCCCTGCCTCCTGCATCCCGGCTCACGGCTCATCCCAGATTATTGGGTCCGACGCTAAACACCCGTCGTCGTGATAGGTCTGGCGAAATGAATTTACGACGGGCCCTCGTCGGCCTTTGGCTGCTTTGGCTGCTTTGGCTTGCCTTCCTTTGGTGGCTTGGCTGCCTTTGGCGGAGACCGCGCGATCATAACACGAGTGCCGGGTTCACCGACGACTCAAACAAGAGCAGTCTCGAGCGGCGGTGTCGTGGTCGGTTGGTTCCGGGGCTGGCTGCTCCGTTCTTCGGCCCGCCGCCTGGCTCGGGTTCAACTCCCCGCCCAGACCATCACTTTAACACACCGCGCGTATACACACTGGCTGACCTCGCGATGCGTATCAAGGCTATCTGCAGTCCTTGTGGGCACGCGGAGCTACCACTTTCATTTATGATTGTGGCGGTGGTGTGACTGTGTGGAAGGCGGTGGAAGGCAACCCAACCCGACGGGATTCGCAGAAGTGCGCGAAAATGATTTTTTTTCTCCCGCGCGCTAGGACTACCCTTGGTAATTATTATTTTTAACGTTTGTTGATGTTGTTGTGTTCCCTTCCCGACCCGGGCTGGCCCGGCCTGGCCCGGCCTGGCACGCGAGTCTGCGGCTAATGAGCCGGCATGTCGCCTCGCCGTGTCGCAAGGCGGTGCCTGGTGTCGATCTAGCGACGAAAGCAGGAACGGCAGCGCGGCAAGGCGCAGACAGACTCCCACGCGTGACAGCCGCGACAAAACGGACCCCTCGCCAAGCCAGCACGCGGCACGCGGCTGGAAGGTGACGCTGGCGGCCGCTGGCGGCGTGGTCTCGGTCACGGAGGGCCCCCCGGGGAAGGCCGCGCTCAGTGGACCAGAAGATCGGTGGAGGCGGCCAAAATTATAGAGGCGTTGTGAGCTCCAGAGTCGCTAAATGGGACTCGCACCGAGCGTGTGGCCCCACCAATGGATTCCTCGTTTGGAGAAAAACCCATTGGTGGGGTCACCCGATCGATTCGAGTACTGACAAGCGACTCTGGAGCTCAAATCGCGTCTAGAATTTTGGCCGCCTCCACCGGTCTTCTGGCCCACTGCACCGCGCTGGGCGGCCTAGCCTACTCCGCGGTCGGCGGGCGCTCTCGCGGGTTGGCACGCGGGTGGCACTTTTACGTCCGACTTGTCCCGCGGAACGTGGAATGCAAATACGAATGAACCAGTCCGTAACCCCCACGCCCAGAGAGCGCGCGGTCCGGCCATAAAGTTAACAGTTGGTGCTCTCCGCGGCGCCGGCAGTGAGTACCGACGGGCCGACGACGGGTCAATTCTTTTGCCACCTGGCTGGCCTGGGTGCAGCAGTGGTGCAGCAGTGCAGCGCTGGCAGCTGGCACAGGCCCCCGTCGAGAGGGCCGCGCAGTCCAGTCGGCTTCGGCCTGGCTGTCAATTTGCAACATCCATGCTGATTTCCCCCGCCGCGCGTTTTTAAAGGTCTGCCAGGCAGGTGGCTGAGGCGGCGAAGGCGCTGGCCGCGGTACCCCGCCGCGGTGCCACTCGGCGTGCAGGTGTTGGCTGGACGCGCCGATAGGCCGACGGCTCAGTTTGAACGTTAAAACACGCGCGTGCGCCGCTCGGCGTATTCCAGAGTCCCAGCCGCGCGATTTGTCACAAAGCAGCCTTCGGGCCTTCGGGCGCGTTGGATGGGGTCCAGCCATGTCGCGGCGATATGCCCCCCGCCCCACTCCACCTCGAGACGGCGCACGGGAGCAGTTTGGTGCGATTTCACTTATTAATTAGCATGCCGTCATGGAGTATCGAGAGTATCGAACGGCTGCCAAAGGTGGAGGAGTGCTGCTAACGAGACCTCGATCGTGACCATATGCTTACAACGAATGTAAACACGCAGAAAATACGTTCGTGGAGTCGCACCGCAAAACGAAAACCACTATACTTTTCGCCCCTATTAACGAATTCTTAACGACTCAGGGGCTCAAAACCCGTCCGGAATTTTCATGACAAATAAGTATGACAGTAATCGACGAAAGATTCCACAGGATCTTCCAGCGATCACAATAACGTCATCCGACCGCTGCCGGAGTCTTCCGGCCGGGCCGTCGCCGTCCTCACCTCCGCCGTCGTCCTCGCGGTGCGCCGCGGCAGTGGTATCCAGAAAGGCGACGCACTCCACCACGCACAGCACTTCACTTTGCACTCGCGACACGACACGACAGGGCACCGCGTGCCGCTCATAGGGCTCGCCGCCGTTCAATGGCGACCACCGGGGCCAGGACCACCACCGGGACCGGCCGGAGCACGCCGCCGGCACCGGCACCACGCGGAGGGGGGCGGTCGGGTGGGGGCAGCGCGCCGTGGAGGGGGCCCCGGGGGGCGGTGGGCGGAGACGCCGACGGCCTCCTCGGCCACCGGGACGACGCGGACGACGCAGAGGCACGCCGGTCCGCGGTCCGGCCGGGGGCGCCGGCGTCGGGGTGCGGCCCGAGGATGCCCAAGGCTGCGAACTGCGGCACGCTGTCCGGGGAGGCGGCCGCGCTGTGGCGCCGCAAGACAGCCGCAGACACGGCGACTGAGTCGTAAGGTAAATCACTCGCGGCCCCGGGCTGCGTCCGCGAGGGTTGAAAGCCGTTCGGACGCGGCCCTGCAGCGACCGGCCGGCAGGGCACGGCCACAATCAGCAACGCCACTTAATAGCGCGGCCTGTAAGACAGCGAGCTGGCCGGGTCTGCGCCGGCCGGTCGGGAACATGTGCCTTGAATTAGTATGTGTGCGGCCACCTTTGCAGCCTTTGCTGCCTTTGCTGTGCTTGCCTTTGGCGGGCACGGCCAGGGCACGGCCAGGGCACGGCACGAGCCGCGCCGCCGTAAAGATGTCGAGCAGACATCGGCATGACGGACGAGTGCGGCGCGCGGCGCACGGCGGCAGCAACGCCATGCCGAGATACAGTGCTGCAGAGACAAACACGCAAACACAGGGACGCGGCGCGCACGCACACAGCAGCAGTGCTTGCAACAACAACGCACCACGCTCGCGGACCAAAGCCTTCCGTAAATGATTTCAATTTGCCAGTGACACTTACGGACATGTCATGGGCCTGGGTCATGGGCATGGACGGCCCTGTGGGGAGGCAAGAGCGACCGAGCGGCAAAGTGAGAAATTATTCCGGTGTGTCGACCCGGAGGCCGCGGAGGACCTTCGTCGGAGAGGAGTGCACCACGCGGGCCGGGTCGCACACAACGGATGACGTGAGTGTTTGTCGACAGTCGGTCGGCCGTGTGTGTGTGCGTGTGTGTGTGGGGGGGGGGGGGGGGGGGCTTGCTCGTGTGCTTGTGAGTACGATTGTGCGATCGTAGCCTCGCAAAAAAGCGCAGCAGTGGTCCTCCTCCGAAGGAACGCGTCCCGCTGCGTTCTTGCGCACACATACACACATACACTCACATGCAAAGGAGAGAAAGGGGACACGGAGGGAGGAGGGGGTGGTTGTTGTTCCTTTCGTCTCGCCAAAGTACTTTTGCGTGGCCCCTGCAGGGCCCCTGGAGGGGTCGGGTCACGCCCCCTTTGTCGGGGATCGTGAATGGGGTTTGAGAGTCAGTCACTTGTCACCTTCCAAGGACCCCCCTCCCCCTCCCCCTTCCTCCGCGCCCAACCTGCCGCGGGTCACGCAGGGCATCCCCGACGACCGCGCTGGGAAAAAAATCGTCCCCGGATCAAAGCGTTTCGTGGTGGCGCAAGAGGCAGAAGGCTCAAGGCCGGCGGGACCCGCGCGAAGCGCGAAGTGAAGACGATTCCGGACTTGACGGGGCGGCCGGGGCGGCCGGGGCGGGCCTCGCAGCCGCGGGGAGTGGGCGGCCTTCCCGACCCGGCCCGGGCCGGCCAGGCTCTCGCCCAATCCAATGCAGGCCATGCAGGGCGCCCTCATCGTCCTCATCGTCCTCAGCGGCCACACCTCGGTCTCGGCCAGACGGCCCCGCCGATCGGAGAAAGTCCCTCCCGCGCCCCTCCCTGCAGGCCGAGGCGGCCGAGGCCCAGACCCCGGTCCTCGTGTGGCGTACGCGCCGCGCGGGTATCGGCCGCCATCAGTCCCTGCAGTCCCTGCAGTCCCTGCAGGCCCCTCCGCACCGCGCCGCGCCGCCGCGACGCTGCATCTCGAAAAATATGTTTATTGTATGCATGTCCCCGCATGTACCCTAATCCGCCCGGGCCGGGCCGCTGGGCGCTGCATCGCTGCATCGCACCGGTCGGGGGGCGGACGGGGCGGACCGTCATCCTGGCGACCGCGCGACAAAATGAGATGCACGCCCGCCGCTCCCGCCGCCGGTCGGGTCGCCGCGTCGCCGCCGGAGAAGAATACCAGCAAAGGAAGTGAAAGTTCAAGGTTCAAATGCCGCGCCGCGAGTGCATTTTGCTTTTCTTCTCCTCGAGGAAGTCCGGCGGCCCCAAGATCAAGGTTCGACGCGCTGCTCCTCGTTTTGCCCGGCCGAACGGAACCGACCGGAAACATGCGAGCGATCTCCGAAAGGAGCTGCGCCGTTTTCTGCTGACCCCGACTCCGACTCTCTGCCCCGCGGCGGTGCGTCGTCAGTACACTGATTCCGAGAGTCGGTTTTTCGTCGCTGTCTCTCTCGCGCCCATACGGGACTCCCCCATGAGTGCGAGAGAGACGAAAACGATTCTCGGAATCAGTCTGCTGGAGTCCGATTGCGTTTTCGGAAACACGTCCCAGAGTCGCCGGGCGGGCGAGTCGGCGGCGACGCGGCGACGCGGGGGCGGCTCGAAGGCCTGGCGGCTTGACGGCTTCACGGCCAGCCTTGCCCGGTTCCAGATAATCTCGCCGTTGTATAATCTCCAGCCGGCCAATTTGCCGACGCGCGCCGTCTGTGTCAAGAGGAGCATCGCCGTTGTTTTTGTCAGCGCGATTTATCTCCTTTTTCCGTGCTCCAACCTCCCTCCCGCCCGCGTGACTCCTCGAAGTGTGCGGACTCACGGCGTCGCAATACAAATTAATACTCTATCGTGCCGAGTGCCGACTGGCGGCCTAGCGGCAGTCGCATCGCTTCCTCCGCGCCGCGCTGCCAGGATTGAGCCATCTCGCGCAAAGTACGCGCACCGCAAAACGACGGCGGAGGCTGACAATGTTTTCATTGGCTTTCAGTCTGCCGATCGGGCCGATGGCGGCGCCCCCGGCCCGGCACGGCTCAGATTGGCCGCCACCGGTCCTCGGCCGCTTTTAACACCTTTCCCCGCGGCTGCTGCGATACGGCCTCATATTTGCTTTCTGCTGCCGACAACGTCGCGGTGGAAGGGGGAGGGGGGCATCAGGCACACACGCACGCGCACACGCACACTCACACACCGATCCGGAGACGAGCGAAAAACAAGAGCAAAAACAGCGGGAAGTGGCGACGCGGCGTGTGCTGTGCAGCAGCATTCAAGCGCGCGCCGTGCGCTCCACGCGTATAATTAGAAGGTTAATGCTATATCGGGTCGGGACCGTCGGGACCGTCGGGGCAGCCACTGGAATGGGAGTAAAAGGAGACCGCGCCGTGAATAATGGGTCAGGGCTGACTCCCCGTCGTCGTGTACTCCTTCTCGTCCTCCGAGATCGGACCACAGGCCACACATTCCGACCACGCACCGCCCGGGGCGCGGATGCAGGGTCCGAGTGTGTGGCGCGCCTGCGAGATGACGGGTAGGCAGCCAGGTCGCTCAGGCGCGTTGCGGGCCTGCCTACCTCGCAGGCGGCCTGTAGCGCCTGCAAGATGACGGGTAGGCAGCCAGGTCGCTCAGGCGCGTTGCGGGCCTGCCTACCTCGCAGGCGGCCTGTAGCGCCTGCACGATGACGGGTAGGCAGCCAGGTCGCTCAGGCGCGTTGCGGGCCTGCCTACCTCGCAGGCGGCCTGTAGCGCCTGCACGATGACGGGTAGGCAGCCAGGTCGCTCAGGCGCGTTGCGGGCCTGCCTACCTCGCAGGCGGCCTGTAGCGCCTGCACGATGACGGGTAGGCAGCCAGGTCGCTCAGGCGCGTTGCGGGCCTGCCTACCTCGCAGGCGGCCTGTAGCGCCTGCACGATGACGGGTAGGCAGCCAGGTCGCTCAGGCGCGTTGCGGGCGTCTGGCGTCGTGGGCGCATTGACGGGGTCGTGCGGAGAAACCCGAGGCGGCACGAGGCTGGTGCGAGTGCGTTGTGCGTTGTGTACCCGGCACCCGCAAGACACCCGACACCTCGCGCCGGCTTGCGCGTTGTGCGTAAATAAGCCGGCAGGCTGCGGGAGAGGCGTCGGCCTGGAGGCCTGGAGGCCTGGCGTCCTGGAGGACCGGACTGCAAGCAGTCTGCGATCGAGCTGACGCGAACCGGATGGAGGCGGCGCAGGGCGGCGGCTGCGCGACGAGCGTTCGACGACGGCTCATTGGAAGCGAGTCCCAAAGTGGGCGATCCACGCACCATAGCTTCGGGCCTGCAGTGGCCCGCAAGGCCGCGAAAAAAAGCACTAAAAAACGAGGATCGTGGGTCTGGCAGCGATCACGAGCAAAGTCGCCTGGTTTGTCGACGGCCTTTTACCAGTGCAGTGCAGCGGTCCCTGCCCGGGGTTTTCCGGGGCCGCGCGATGGACTGGTGTCTGGCGGACCAGTGGAGCCAGGTTCGATGTGTGCACAGTGCACGCGCACGCCTGCCTTGTCGCTTTAACCTCCACCTCCAGCCCTCTCTCCTTGACGCGGCGCGGTGCGGCACCGCTAGGCCAGGCCCGCCGCTTGCCTGCCGTCTGATTCCGAACACTGCTTCGTCACTCTGTCTCTCTCGCACCCCTACGGAGCGCCCCATGAGTGCGAGGGAGACAGAGCCACGAAAGCAGTGCTCGGAATCAGACGGCTGCCCGGGCCGCCGCGTTGATGGCCCCGCAGCCCCGCAGCCAGTCATAAATTAGCCATCGGTCACGAGAATGAGCCCCGCTGTGCATCTGCCTTGCGTCTGCCTTGCGTCTGCCCGACCCGCGCCGCGGCGAGGCCCGCGGCATGCAGCAAAAAGGTGTCAAGTTGTCAAGTGCCGCCAGGACCGCGTCGTCGCCTGGCATGGCCTAGCGATGGTGTGGATACACTAGTGTGGCGTCCGCTTTGCACGGCGTCCAATCGTGCTGCCGGCCTGCCGCGACGTGATGGTAGCCACCCTGTTCTTTCATGCTCTGACTCGGGTAGTATGTGATTTCCTGCCCTAGATTGCGCGGTCACTGCGACACTGCCAAGTCGCGTACTTGCTCTCTCCCTGCGGAGGCGTGGACTCCAGATGTCCTCTTTGCTTGCCTTTGCTGGGCTTTGCGATAGATCACTGCGACCAACATCAGTGCGTGCGTCCCGGCCAGCAACATGGAACTATGGGACGAGTCCCCGGACGAGTCGAAGGGGTGGCCGAGCTCGCAGGCGCACCGCGACACCGCGGCCGGGGCAGTCGGGACCGAGCGAGGAGTATTGCCGCGGTCTTCCCATAGCGGCACTCGGCACTCGCTGTTCGCTGTGGCGAGGAGTATCTCCGCGACTTCTTCCCAGCGGAAACGCGGTCGCATCACTCACATGCCGCTACATTCATCCCCACCAATCGGAACCCATCGCGAAATGTTGTTCCGTATCATCATGCGTTTCGAGATTCGGGCGGGATAGTGAGGGTTGACTACGTTCTACATGTGACTTTTCCTTGACTTCAGTTCGCACGGACGGGAAAGTGTGTAAACAGTGCAATGGACTTTCCTCGCTCCCGCTATTTCTTTGATACTCGTCGATACTGTTCGAAGCTGGTTTGACGCAGACACCCCCGCGCGCAGGCAGCCCGCGCCATGCCTGGCCATGCCGCCGCTGCAGCTGATACCACCCGTTCCACCTCCACTGCCGTCGCGCCGCCGCCTCGGGCAGCCTCGGGCTGGCCCTGCGGCAGGCGGCGTGGCGCGGCGTGGCGTGGCGAAGCGAGTCGGCGCGGCGGCAGTTGCCAGTCTCAGTTTTTGTGGACAAGAAGCAAGCCGTGCCGGCCGCGCCGCCTCCGCGTTCTCGACTGTGTTGTGTTTGTGTTTGATCGGCGGCTTTCCAACCCGTGAATGCACGCGAAAAGCCGCCCTCTGTGCGCCGATCTGACGTCGCCAGGAATCGAACCCGGGCCCGTCTAGAGGGCCGGCCGGGCTCGTGGACAAGCTGGCCATCCCGGACACAGGGTCGTCCTGGGTCCCCGCGGACGCTGGACCCGGGCACGATGCCCCGACCCGGACGACGACCGTGGCCCCGGACGCCGCCGACGGGCGGTGGGCGGCCGACGGCATGGGGGTGGCGGTGCGGGTCAACAGCCTGCTGGACGACGGCCGCACGGCACTGCAAGGTAATGTATGGCCGGAATGGCGCGCCGGCCTATCGCCAACGCCCCCTCGCGACTTGCGCCGACTAGCACCGACTTGCCCCTACTTGCCCCTACTTGCGCCGTGACGGCGTGCTCTCACGGGTTGCTTTGACGCCGTGCTCTGACGCCTTCGCTTCGCGTTGCTGCCGGCCTGCAGAGCACTCTGCAGAGCGCCCCGCCAGTTCGTTACGGTCGTTACGATAACCGCCGTGCAGGTACCAGGTACAGCCAGTGGATCATCGCGGATTCGCCGAGAGCTTTTCGGGGTAGTTGTCGAGGAACATCACTGCTGCACGACGGCGGCCCGTCTCGTCCATCTGCGTGACCTCGCGGGACTTCCCCGCGTCGGCGGTGCGTTTGATGATGGACTCGCGCACCGCGGGCGCGTCCAGCCGCGTCCAATGGCGGTCGGAACCGCGCCGCGCACGCGCCAGAAGACGGCCATGTTTTGTAAATGGCCGAGTGGCGCTGTCCGCTGTCGCGCTCCAGCAGACGACAGGGAAGCAGACGACGCTGCTTTCCACGCTCTTGTGCTCCGCCACCGTGAAGGGCGTCGTTGCCTCGCCAGCAGCGCCGCAGTGCCCTTGTGCCGGGTGTGTCACGCGCGTGTCCTGCCGCGCGCCGCACGCTTGCACGCTCTCGCCTCGAATCGCCATCATCGGCCGCCCAGCGCCCAGCCTGCCTCTGTGGTGGAAAACAGTGTCACCCGGCGGCGGCAGCGCGGCCCGGCGAGCGCATTGCCTTGAGCATGCGTCGTCAGGAAGCGCAGGGGTTCATGACCGGAAGGAACTTATCTCTCCCCTTCCCCCTCCCCCTTTTCCCTTGCGTCGCCCCTCCCCTCCTCCCCCCTCCCCTCCACGCACCGCACCTGATAGAGGCACTTCGACGCCTCGGCCGCGTGGTGCTGCCCCGCATGCGGGACCCCCACGAGGGCCTCGGCGCGGCCGTGGCGGCCGTGACCCTGGACTCCAGCGGCCTCTGGACAAAGATCCCCACTTCGACGCTAGAAACTAGAAAAATCGTCGGCCGTCGTCGGCCGGGGTGAGTGAGCCTTCCCCTCGGTCGTGCAGGCAACGGGGCTCTGCATGCGTGATGCCGGCCTGCAGTGGCTGCAGTGTGCACTGGCAGGGCCGCACGACGCGGTGGAGCTCCCCGAATGCATAATGCGCAACTTATACGTATTTTGACAGGTTAGCGGCGCCGCGCCGCCCCAAACTGTCCCCCGTTTGTATTCGGGTAATGCAGGCGGCTCGGTAAGTGACACAGGTGTCCGCGCACCTGCCCCGCCCCGCCCCGCCCCGCCTCGCCCCGCCTCGCCCCGCGGCGCGGCGTGCGTCACGGTGTCACTCCTCCGGCCGCGCCGGGAAAGCACGGGAAGGCGACGACACGGAGGCGGGAAAACTGTTCTGGTCGTCGTCGAGCTCGTCGTCGGCCCGCCGGGCCGCCCGTTGCCCCCACAAGCCCCGTCGCGTCGTCAGCGAACCGCGGTGCGAAAATTCTGGCGGCAGCGAAACGATGCCGACGTCGGCAGCGCGCCGCGCACGGTGACAGTGCGGCTTGCCGCGCAATGTCGAGCACGGCGATGCGGGGGCTGGGCTGAGTGGTCGGTAGCGCGAAATGAGGCAAGGACCGTGCTGTGGGTCGCGGGCAGGCAAGTGTTTTCTTATTTTGGTCACTGCTCCGCGAGCCGGGCCAACACTTCCGACGGGACAGAGTCGTCGGGGTCGTTTCTCTCGCCCCGATAGAGCGTTTATTTGTGGAGGTCTTCGGACAACGGCCCTGAGCTCCGCGCTCCGCGGTTGGGGCGGAGGCGCCCCGCCCCGGGCGGCCGCAGCCCCGGGGCGGCATCGCGGAGAAAGGCCCATTCACACGGTCTGCCGAGCCATTCAGAAGAGGCGAGTCGTCGCTCCGTCTTTGTCGCACTTATGGGGCTCTCCGTAGACAGAGCGACAAACCAATCTTCTGAACCGCTCAGCTGCCTGTCTGACTGAGCGCGCCACCTCTGCACAGCTGCGCGCTGCGCTGCGCTCCCCTGTCTTGACCGGTCTTGACCGCGGTTTGACTTTGTTGCAGGGCTGCTGGCGTCCCTCCCTCCGTGGGCGCGGGGCGCGGCGCTGGCGGGGGGCTGCCTGGCCCTCGTCGTCGGGCTGCTGATCCTGGCGTGGCTGCTCAAGCCGGGATGCCTCTCCAGGATCTGCTGCCGCAGGAGGCGCCGAAACTCAGGTACCCGCAGAGCGGCGTCGCCCTGCCTCCCTCGCACCCTGGGACATCTCGCACGGGAGCGAGAGAGACAGAGCAGCGGAGATCTGTTCGGACTCAGACTTGAGAGATGTTCTTCCCTTTCGGGGACGCCGTTAACTCTATTCGTTGTTTGTGCAGAGAATGTGACGCCGCCGCTGGACAAGCCCAAGAAGCACAGCATCGACGAGGAGCTGCAGCTGGAGGACGTGACGTACCGGTCGTGGGCGCGCGGCTCGCTGTACGACACTCCGCGTGCGTAACGATGCCGACTGGGGGAGACGTGAGGAATGTGGAGGCTGCGTGGCGGCGGTGGTGACGTTTTTCCTCTTGTTGGCAGTGGCGGGCGACGGGGACAGCGTGTCGCACGCCTCGCACAGGGACTCGACCTACAGCAGCATGTCGGACGCCACGGACACCAGCTCCATCCTGGTACGGCCGGCCTCCTTCGGGGCGTTTGAGATGCGGTGACTGCCTCAGGTCCGTGACCCTGTTCTCCTTGTCCTCGCAGAGCTACGCCAGCGGCGTGCTGCCCAGTAACGACTCGTCGGCGGCCTGCCTGGCCTCCACGCCGAGCGGCCCCCTCGGCGGCGCCCTGGGCGGCGCCCTGGGCGGCCCTCCCAGCGTGGTGCTGCTGGTGCAGTACCTGGGCCACGGCGAGGAGGGCGCGGCCTCCCCGACGGGCCGCTTGGCCTTGACGGTGGTGGAGGCGCGCTGCCTGCCGTCCAGGGACTACGGCGCCAGCCCCGACCCCAGCGTGCAGCTGAGCGTGTCGCCGCGGCGGCTGCCCTTCCCGTTCCGCTGGCTGCGCGGCCGCGGCCACCCCCTGGGGCTGGGCCTGGGCCTGGGCCGCCCCCGCACGCTGCACCAGCTGCGCACCCGCTCCGTGCGCCACTCGCGGCAGCCCCGCTTCAACGAGGACTTCGCCGTCGAGGCGCGCCGCGCAGACATCAAGGTGCCCAACCGCCCCGCGCCTCCCGGGTTGGAATCGCAGTGGGCCAGAAGACCGGCGCAGGCGGGCAAAACTCTAGACGCGCTTTGAGCTCCAGAGTCGCTATAAAGGACTCTAATCAAACGTGTGACCCCACCAATGGATTGCTCTCCGAACGTGGAATCCATTGGTGTAGTCACACGTTCGGTTCTGTTTAGCGACTCTGGAGCTCATAACGCGTCTAGAGTTGGCCGCCTCCACCGGTCTTCTGGCCCACTGTGAAATGCCGCGGAAGGACGTACGGAAGTCGCCCTGTCTCTGTCGCACTCGCGGCGCGCCCCGCGTCAGGAGTGCGAGAGAGACGGAGGACGAGACGATCCTGACCGCGCCCCGCCCGATGCTGCAGGACTGGTCGCTGCAGGTGGCGGTGATGGACGAGTGCAAGCTGCGGGGCAGCACGCTGCTGTGCCGCGGCGAGGTGCGGCTCAAGCAGATCCTGGCGGCCAGGGAGCCGACGCAGCTGTGCGTGCCGCTGGCGCCGCAGCCCGAGGAGCGCGCCCTGCTGCTGTTCGGCCTCAGCTTCCTGCCCACGGCGCAGCGCCTCTCCGTGAGCGTGGTCAAGGCCACGCGCGTGCGGCTGGAGCACGTCGTGCCCTCGCCGGACCACTTCCGTGAGTAGGGGTGCGACCGTGCAACCTGCGAGCAGCGAGGGGGAAGAAAACCGAGGGCGCCCCTCTTCTGCCGTCTGATTCCGAGAGTCGCTTTCGTCGCTCCGTCACTCTCGCGGCGCCACCATGAGTGCGAGAGAGACAGAGCGACGAAACGGTCCTTCGGAAACAGGCGGCTGAACGCCAAGGAGCATGCGCACTCCAGCACCTATTTGCACGGGGGAATTCCCTCTGCGCGCCTCAAGAAGAGCGTGAGGTTTCAAGCGTAACGCCAGGCGTCACCAGTGAGGGTGGCAAACTTTAAAGAGTGATGGTCTCACACTGTCCAACTGTGTTTGCAGGGCCGTACGTCCGGGCGACGCTGGTGCACTCTGGCAGCGGCCGTCGCGTGGACTCGGCGCGGACCAGCCCGCAGGAGCCCTCCCTGAACCCCGAGTTCTGCGAGACGCTCTCCCTGAAGCTGACGCCGGCCCAGCTGGGCTCCCTGTCCCTCATCGTGGCGCTGTGCCACCGACTTTCGGTCCGTATTTCAGTGCGAAGCACCGTGCCGACGTAGTCCCGACAGGTGGCCAAAATTTTTCAAAGTGCATTCTCTCTCTCTGTTGAGCAGGATGGCGACGAGAGAGGCCCGGGCGGCCGCCACCCCCGCGACCGCGTGCTGGGCGCCGTGGCCGTGGGCAGCCGCGTGCAGGGCGAACGCGGTCGGGAGCACTGGCGCGCCATCGAGCAGCGGCCGCGGAGGGTCGTGTCCATCTGGCACACCCTCACCTGAGCAGACTGACCCACTTGTGCTGTCGCTTTTAATCGGCAACAACTCAAGGGAATGTGTGTTTCACTTTGCAAGACTAACGTCGCGTTCCAGACGCCGTACTGAATGTGTTTTTGTCGCTTGACCAATGTTAGTACAAAAAGACCGAGTTTTCCATGAAATGGATGCGCGATTGATTGACGCGATTCACAATGATTCGCCTGTGACGTTAAATGAATAAGTTAGTGTTGATATGACGTTCCTAGTTACGATTTTGATTACTGTTTATATTTATTGTTAATAAAATAAAATGAGGCATGTTATTACAATTGCATTGTGTTTTTCTTAAAATCCTGGATGAAAGAAATGAACTGAAGTAAATGAAATAACGAAGGAACGCCGAAAAAGCTTCCACGAACAGGAACAGGCTCGAGAAGCAGGCACCGCGCGACAGCAGGTCACACAGCCCCCACCCGCCGCGCCGTGCAGGCAGGCAACACATCGTACTCGCAACCCGAAACCAAGGATGACGACATCCTCCCCCGTAGTTCCTCTTTTGCAAGCTCACCATTTTTGAGCCTTCCAAACCAAAACAAAGTTTGTTTCGCACCTTTTGCAAACTTTGTCTCGATAAACCAACACATTTCTCTTCTTGGAGCGCCGAAAGTGAAAGACGAGCGCAGAAATGAATCAAACGCGGCCGGGCCGGTGGCAGCCAATCACAGCGCAGCTTTCTGCAGTGACGGAAACCCGTGACGAAGACGAACGGCCCAGCATCCAGTTCCAGTCAGTTTGCATGAGTGTGGGGTCGGAACGGCACGTTGGCTACTGCATGGCCGTTCCTTGATTCCGTTTGGCCAAGTGAGGCCGTAATTCTACATGATGGGGGTGGCAGGGTAAGTATCGACTAGGTCGAGAAATATGGATGAAGTGTGTTGCTTCCGAATGTGTTTACACTGCAACCGGCGTTAACCCTAGCCTCCCACGCGCGCTCGTGTGCGTGTGTGTTGGTGTGTGTGCGCGCCTCGCGGTGTGCTCGTGACATTGGAGACAATGGCGGCAATGTTATGATTAGTTTGTCACTGATATTGTGACTTAGTTTCGAAGTCATAAAATCTAATGTGCGGCTTTGTGATACCTTCTGAATTATTATTTCCGGCTCAAAAATGCTTGCAAAATGCGGCCACTTGTTGCCATTTGTTCTGTCTGTCGCGTAATGTGTTTTTGTCTTTGCTGTTTTGGTTATTTGGAAACCGTCTGAGTCCCAACAATCCAAAAAACCATTTGTATTAAACTAAGTCTCCTTTTTCAAAAAAATAAAATGTACGAACCAGACGGCGATTCAGGGGTGGGGGTGGCAATGGGAGTGTCTTGCATTCGAGAGGAATAATGCCGTCCCGTTTCATTGTGGCTTTGGCCTCTGCGTTGCCGCTGCTCGCTTCGATTGAGGAAAGAGACCCGCCGCCTGGAACGTGATAGCGTAGTGCATTACCGCACAAGCTGTGCCTGCATTTTGCGATAAAAGCCGAGGGCTCCTTCGCGAGAGGCGGGGACTGGTGCAGCGGGAGTCTATGGGGCTCTAGGAGTGGCCATTGGAGACGAGAAGTTAATTTTTCTCCGTAAGAAGCTAGGAAGCCTGTGGCATGCATCTTTGGGAACGCAAATCCAATGGCAATTCGCTCGACCGTCCTCGGAAGCCGGTGCAAGCTCGAGGGCGCGAGGCGCATTCTAAGTTCGAATTCTCCCGCGCGCGGTGATGTGATCGAGATATCGATACCTCACCCCGCTTCCCCTCCTCCCCCTCCTCCTGCCCCCTTCTGCCGGCGGGCGCCGCGCTCTTGTTTGTAAACATTTTAGTAGACCGGATCTAGTTTTACGTGAGTTCTCGTCTTATACTTTCCTTATGCTGCATTCATTTTTATTTACTTGAGTAGGAGGAACGTTAATTGTGTCGTTTGTCAAAGAGACACTCGCTGTCATTTAATATTGAAGCATTTCTTTAATAATGTTAAAAGGTCTTCTTGGTTAGGAAAGCCATAATTTTCAAACTATTTTGAATTTTGGCTTACAATGTAGTGTTCTTTTCCTCTTATGCTGTCAGTGTGTTAAAAGTTGTGTGATTGTTTTTCTTTTCTGGTTTGTTCACAGCAACCACAAGTTATCAGATTCAGAGCGGAAAAACCTCTTTGATCCCACACCACTCAAGTTTTATCGGCCTCCTTTAAAATCTGATACTAGGGGTCTTACTGAGAAGATAGCTCAGCTTTTTGTTGGACAAGAGCCTGCTCCAAACCATAATAGAATTAATATTTCAGCAAGCTTACCTTCCAATGTCCAAAGTCCTTCTTCTAATCAACCCGCTCGCAGAAAATACTCATTTTCTGTCAGTCAATGTGACCATGGAGAGAAGAGTGAAGAAGACCGAGTGTGTGTTTCAAGACCAACACTTCTAAGTAAGAGTGGTGAAGATGGAAGAGAAAGGCAAAGTCAATGCTGGAGGCTAGGTCTATATGCCATTAAATCACCAGATTCACAATTACAAGGCCGACCACCCCTAATGGCTAGCACTCCAGTTGCTTCATCTGATCCAGCACTTAACTGTGATATACAACCTAAGTCTCTCATTACAAAAAATGTAGCCCTTCACAACCAAATGACCCAACCTCTGTCCGATTCTTTGTCATGTGGTCATGGAACAAGTGATACCTCATTTGATGAATCATTATCCACTTTTGAAGGAGTTGCCCCCCTCAGTTCTGAAGATCTTGCGTCAGAGCCTGACTCTTTGCCAGAAAACCATCGAAGGCGCTTACATCTGTGCGACGTAGATCAACGTACTGAAGATTCTTCAGGAATAGGTTCACTCAATTCCAGTATGCAGAACAGTTCAAGCCACTCTTCTCCTGTGCGTAAAGAAAGAAGCCATAGCCTGTTACAACTTCCACAGTCATCAGTTGTGCACTCCATGAAGGAATTGAATCAAACCTCAAGAGGCCTGGAGAACTCACTTGATTGTTCACTTAGTCAGTCATCTAAAAATTCTGTACACAGCTCTACCTCTCCAGTGTCTACAAGGAAAGGTGGGATGGTATTGTCAAGAACTGAGTCCAAGATTTTCCCTAATTCTCTTAGTAACAGTATGAGCAAGAATTCTGACTCTTCAAGTGACTCTGGGACTCCAGGATCCTCTCCAGGGAAAGTAGTTCATAGCTGGAAAGCATCATTCTCTACCAGTGAAGTTAAGAGACCTACAAGTTCAGAGCTGAATTTTAAACCAAATAGTAGTAAAGAGTTCAAGTCTAAATGGGATGATAACTCTTCAAATTCTTCTATGGCTTCAATGGGACTGCCTACATCCTTTGGACCTAGAAATACAATGAAAAGAAAGTCTGTTAATGTGTCAGCAACCAGTACAGACTTGAATGAGATACTAAGGGAGAGCTTTTCTAAGAGATTTTCATTTGAATCTGCTGACTGGCGTTTACCGGACCCTGACACATTATTTACATCAGAGCCATGGAAAATTAACCAGTTTCTCAGACAAAAGCAACGGTTAAATACTGTTAAGGATGAACTTAATGATCTACCTCTACAAGACTGGCATAAACATACACGACGTCGAAATATTGCTGGGAACATAATATGGCAGTTGAGGAACAAAATTGATCCAGAATTCCCAACCCAAGCATGGTGCAAGTTCTATGAAAATGTCGCATCATTTCCACTGGTACCAGTGAAAGCCATAAAAAACAAATGTTTGAACTCAATCCACCTGTGTGAAGCTCCTGGTGCCTTTATTACGTCTTTAAACCATTTTCTGCATGCCAATTATGGAGATGACTTTAAATTTGATTGGAGAGCTGTAACTCTGAATCCCTATTATGAAGGCAATCCTCTTTCTTGCATGATAAATGATGATCGTCTGATTCTGAAAACCCTGGATAAGTGGCTGTTTGGGGAAGACAACACTGGAGACCTTATGCAGCCTGCAAACCTCAAGAGTATAGCAGAAGGAGCCTCTCAGCTTGGCCAAATTCTTCTTGTCACTGCTGATGGGAGCATTGATTGCCAGGACAATCCAGCAGAACAGGAGGACATTGTGTCTTGGCTCCATTACTGTGAAACTGTAGCGGCCTTGCAGATCCTCGCTCCAGGTGGCAGTTTCCTTGTAAAAATGTTCACATTTTATGAACATTTTTCAATTGGCCTCATGTACTTGCTAAATTGTGTCTTCAAAAAAGTTATCGTAAACAAACCTGTAACCAGCAAGGAAGGCAATTCTGAAGTATACGTCGTGTGCCTTGATTACCATGGAGCACATGCAATTAAACCATGGCTAGATGTCCTCTCAAAGCATTACGGACCGAAGGCTCCACCTACTACTTTGTTCTGTATGGATGATCTGCCTGTTTGTTTTGTGGACCAACTGTACAGATGTGCTGATTTCTTTAGAAAGGCACAAACTCGTGTTATTGAAGAAAACCTTCGATCCTTCCATCATCCAGCTAGACAAGACAACTACCTCATCGCTAGAATCCGGAACAGAGTGGCTGATGACTTCTTTGTGAGGTAATTCAATTTTATTATGAAAACATTTGTCCATGTGTGACATTTATTTAATGTTTGGTTCCATTTTGGTTATAGATATGAACTAAAGAAGCTGGATCGAAAATTTTGCCTGGTGGACAAAAGAAATATAAATGGCATTGCAACACCAAACATTGATCCCAGGCAAGAGGAAGGCTCCTTTAATGATCGAAGAAAACGTCTGACCCTGAGTCCAGAGGAAGAACTTAAGTACCTGAAAGATGACCTCAACAATCTGGCAGTTGCATGGCCTGGGGATTTTGATGTATTTTGGATGGATGTATGTTCTACTGAGTTAGTTCCTGAAATTTGCTTTGATCATAATCATATGAATTTCTTGACTTCTATAAATTTGTGTTACAGTTTCCTGAAAACCCTAAAGGCTTCAAAATTGTCAGGGGCAAACCAATCTCTAAGGTTCATAGCTCAAAGTTCTGCCTAGGACGTCTTTTGAAGATTCGCAACAGGGTTAGAGAAATAGCACAGCAGCATTACAAAGTTCGCATCTCACACAAGGTGTCTTCTGAAAGGTAAGAGCTTGACCCCTTATCTATTGAAGTTTTGAATATGCAAATAAGAATAATGTTTGCTTCTATTGTTGTTTAACAGTTTTAGTGGTTACCATGGTATGCTTGTCGTTTCAGTGAAACTCGGAGTTTCCCATGGCCCGAAGATTCTGATAGCCCAACAAAGAGGAAAGTCCTTTCATTGGACTTCAAGAACGAGCTGTGGGCTTCTTTAGAAGATGGCAGCAACGCCCTAAATGAGAAAAATGCATGCAGAAAAATTTTGAATGTCATTGAAAATGACATTTTTAGAGATTACTGCTTTGAGCTAAGGGGGTATCCCATGTTAACTCAGTTTAATGTTGGATTAGTTTTCCTCCTTGGCCACTTATTTGAAAAGGTACTTTTATACGATTTTTTAGGAATCATCAGTATTTGCCTTATTTTATGCATTCCCCTTAACACTTTCCTTGTATATTTAGGTAGGCTTTGTTCAACCCAAGGGACAAGACATTCGGGTTCTGTTTTACAACTACCGTAAATTTAATCCAGAAATGAAACGACATTGGGATGATGTAGTTGCGGGTATGGAACGTGACAGTGAAACAGTTCTATCCGTAATTCAGGTTTCTCAGCTTTCAGGTATGTTCATGTTCATACCATGCTTCTATTTCAGAAATAACGTACAAAGCTGGATTTGTTGTTATTTGTTTTGTTGCAGATGGCGATTTCTATAAATATGTCACAGAAATTAACAATCTGTGTGTTCTTGAGCAAGTTGAGGACTTGTTGGCATTAATGTCAGCTGACTAATGTAAGCTGATTAATGTCTTATCATCATTTTTTCTCCCTTTTTGAAGTCTGATTCCTCTAATGTGTTGATCATGTGCTGTATTTCTAGAGACCTTTCCACCTTGGCTATTTCACCCTTCTTTATGTCATCTGAAAACAGTGTATTTTCCACTGTGTACCGGAAGGTATTTGATTGTGATATCCTCTAGTTTTTATCTTGCCACCTTTTTTTGTTTTTCATATTATTATTTTTCTTGACGCTTTGATTTATTTTGCATGTTCTCATAAGTGAAATGTCAAGCTTCAATCAATTAATTCGACTTATGGTATTCATTTTATTGCATGAAAAAATGTTATTCTATTTTTTTGAATGTGGAGAATTTTTTAGGATTGATATTCGTCCATATAAGTATCTTGATTTTTGTTATCCTTGTAATTGGAATGTTTATTGAATCAATAATTTATAATGTCTTAAAGCATGGAAGACATTGTATTCTGTTTTGAATAGACAGAAATATTTGACGTAGGTGCAGTTGGTTTGTTTGCTTTGTGTTTTGTTGGCTTACAAAAACATTTTGTGAATCATGTCTAATGTTAGTCTTGCTTTGCTTTGTACTGAACTGATACCCCAAAATCACATTATCAATGTGTCATCATATAAACACCATCAATTTAAAGCCAATTTCACTTTGTTTTTCCCCAATTTTGTCCAACACGAAAGAACGAAAGAACACATGGAACCAGTCCCAGTCCCCCTCCAAAATGAAACGCGATGCAGCGACATCTTGCGACATGCTGGGGAAGACCTCGGTAGAATGGGCTGCCTATCCTCCCGGCGTTGTCTGTCCCCACAGATCCACGCCTGCTTCACCTTTCGGTTCTCGACAATGAAATTCCGCCATGGAGATTCCACGCTTGGTCGCGCCCTTTGTTAAATACGCAACTTTCTGAACGAAGTTTCATTGGGACGCAAATGACCTCGAACCAACCCCGTAAAGTCCCATAAGTGTGTCTGCGACTCGCGATCTTTCTAGAAAGTCCTTTAAGTGTCCTACCCCCCTACGACTATGACCGCCTCTGCCTACGACGCGAGCGAGTCTCACCGGTCTCACCGGTTCGGAATATAATATAAAGGTCGGAATATCATAACAAATGGGTACGTGGAAATAGAATTCGTCAACCCTGGAGACTGCAGGCCGATTCTCAGAGTCGTTTACGTCACTCTGTCTCTCTCGCACGTATACGGGACGCCCCTTGAGTGCGAGAGAGACAGCGAGAGACCGATAAGGTGCGGAAAACAAAGGGCGGCGAGGGGGTGAGATGCTACGCCCCCCACCTTTCTCCCCCTCCACCGCACATGCGTGTTGTGGCCTGTCAGTGACAGCTCAGCTGATGCAGATCTGCCCCGCCGAGCCGAGTGCTAGTACCACGAGTGTCGACACGCTGGGCCGTCTGCTTTGCGAACGATTATGGATCGTGAAATCGACGCTGCCAAGTCCTTCTGCGACATGGTGAACGTGGAGTGGCCGACCAGCGAGTCAGTTTTTTGGTTTGAGGTAACATGAAGCCGGCGTTGGTCAGATGCCGTTGGACGGCACGCTTTGCCTCGACCACCTCCGTTGCTTTGCTTGTATTTGAACTCCTGTTCTAATTCCAGGCTCCCGAGTCCACGGGGTGGCGTGTCACTCTTCAGCAGCCGCCACCTGTTATGGATGAAGAAATCGGCTCCATGCTGTGCAAGGCTTTCTTCTTGACGAGTTTGAGAAACAGATTGTTGGCAGTGAGTACAGAAAAAGGGGTTGCTGTTTCATCATGTGCAGTCAAACATGAACAGTAAGTTCTGCGTTTAGTGAGTGAAGCATTCAAGATTGATGTATTTTTATCAGTTTCTTTATTCTGGCAGTGGTGTTGTTTGGCCTAAAGCAGGTATCATGCAAGAAAAAAAGCTGTGGATTCACCCATCATGCAGTGCCAAGGACGCCACTGTCCAGTTCACTAGTATGGTGAAAAATATGTGGCGTGAGGAATCACTTGCCGTGTGTAATTTTCCTTTATACAGTGACTTCAACCTTAATGTATTGTACACTTTTGGCCACCTCTTTGAAAAGGTCAGTACACATTGCCACCCTCACTAATGCTAATTTCTTGCAATAAATTAATCAGTTACTATGTTTCTCTAGGTGGGTCTTATGCATCCAAGTAGTACATGCACTACATTTCTTTTCTACAAATTTCGTAGATGGGAATTAACTTATGAACGAATTGTCACTGAAATTGGCAGGAGAATGGTGGACAGTGAAACTCTGCTCGACTTGAGGCTTACTCTGAGGGAAGACGAAAAAAATCTTCATGGTAAACTTTTTTTGTCTAGCCAATGCTATGGGAATGTAGCAACTTCACATATATTGAAATTCTTTTAAAAAATTATCGTGTTTAACTCTAAGTTTTCTTTTTCATCAGGAAGTATGTTTTACAGCTTTTGTTTGTATATGAATTGTATACACATCAGGAAGCAAATTTTGGACATAATTCAGAACATAGAGCAACCTCAAAGAATTGTAGCAGAGAAAGCAGTTCAGGACCACGACCGGAACCAAAGCCTTGGTCTATGCTGCTCAGACTGTGATTTAAAGAGGTGTTTGAAGAAACCTACTGATGACGTTAGAAGAGAAAGTTTTAGTGATAAACTCGACGACCACTGGCTAACAGTAAGTTCTCTTGCATTTTTTCTTCTAGCTTGCAATAAATCTCTTTTGACCGAGTTAATAGTTTACAGAGCCCTGTCCTCATTTAGAGCTTGTGAAGAAATCTGGCCGATGTGTGCCTTTTAGTGATGTTGAGGTCACTAAATTTTGTTCCAAAGAACTTCTGTCTGACTGGCAACTCCTTTGTCAGAAAATGAGAAGTTCATTAAAACTGACTGATAAATGTCTGCGTCAAGGTACATGGTAGGTATCTTTATAAAGTTTAAAAATCCAAATAAAATATCAAAGTTTTTTTTTCATATTTTGAAAAATTTAAAAATTATGTTTTCCATGGAATCTAGTCTGGCACATGGTTCAGATGCAATCTGCGCTTCACCAAAGAAATACTCTTGGTCAACATCAGAGCTGCAGGTGAAACGGTTGGATTTTGGGATGGAACTGTGGATGAATGTTGAACACCACATGAAACATCAAAGTCAAAGCCTTCAGTTGATAAAAGGTGTTTTAGAAAATGCGAGGGAAGGTGAATGTCTTGAGATTCGTGGCTTACCATCACTCTCTGAATTTAGTGTGAGCCTTATCTATGTTGTAGCCCATATGTTTGAAAAAGTGAGTTGCTTGTTCATTATAAGATCGTACAATTTTTTTGTTTTTGCAATTTTTAATCATTTCTTGTACATCTTTTGTTTTGATTATAGGTGCGCTTCTACCACACATCTGTTGGAAGAAATGTGATTTTCTTTTTCAACTTTAGAAGCTTTCCAATTTATCTTAAACAAGAATTCCAAGAGTCTATCAATGACATTAAACATGTGAAATCCTTGGTGCCATTAAAGAAGATCTTTTGTGAGTTATTGTTTGTACTGACATCAGTTGTGAATTTAATTTTGGAAGAATGTAATATCTTTGATTAACTATTTGGCAGGTGGGGAGTTTTATCAGAAGATGACCAATTACAATAACTCAAGCCTTGTCAAGCAATGTCTGTATGTTACACAATTTTTGTCTGAGCATCAAAGATAATCAATCTTTTCACTGTGAAGTTAATTAAGTAGATTTACTTTCCTTATAAATGCTGTGTCATGTGCGTTTTGGCATAATGTGTCAATTAAAATGAATTTATTTAGTTGCATCAAGTTTATTTTCTCTTAGTCCAATCCAATGACAAATTGTGGATATGCTGACGCCATAAAAGTGCAGTGTAGTGAAATGAAAGTTCATTAAGGAACGTAAGCCTTGCCTTGGCTGCAGGCTCCAGGCACTGGAGTAGAGAGAGGGTTATTTCGTTTTCAAACACCTGGCGCCAGATTTCGTCGCAGCCGCCCGCTAGGGGGCGCCAGTGTAGGTAGTATCGATGTTGGCAGCACTGCAGGCGCACAGCGACACGCAAGCCTACCACCTCAACGGCGCTGAAGAGCCAAGAGCTCGCAGTCAGGCAGTTTGTTTTCGAACCTGTGCGAGAGAGTACCTGTCCGTACAGCTGTTTGCAAATACTTTTAGGCGCGCGTGTGGAATTACCCGTGCATGTGCGCGGCGCCGTGTCAAGTGTAGTGTGATTTTTAGTGCTGTGTTCTGCTCTGAGAAAATTGGATTTTGGAATAACTGAAACATTTCAACTTGGTTGCCGAGTCCGTATCCTCAGTGTATTCAGGTACTCTCACCTTTCTTTCTGATAAGGACAGGGCGAACTTGCACTAAACGTCGGTTTCTTTGCTGTTATTTGCATGGTTGGAGAGCAGGGCAAAGCTGGCTCGGGCTTTTCGCTCAAGTTTCTTTCATGTTTTTTGAGAATTGGACCCTTGATTTGAAATCAGGTTGGAAGGTTATGTTTACCGCTGAAACAATTACTGAACAAAGAGAACAACGCATAAAATTTTGCCGTCGTGAGTTCGTAATTTGCTGTGTATTGTTTTACTTGGTTTTCAGATTCACCCAGCCCATGTAGTGTTACTTTTCCCATTCCATTTATATTTTATCTTGTTCTGTTCTACTAATTCCATTACTTACATCCTTAAAATTTCAAAATTATTTTCTCTACTATAGTGTTCTTAAATTTGAAGTAATGTAGCTTAGCAACTTATTGATTCATTGTTACATTTCAAATGTTTAAATTATTTGAAGATAGTTTTTTACAACAATTTTTATTTTGTCAACTCAAATTCTTTGCTTTCTGTATTTAATTTGCCTAAATCCAAGCCAGATTTCAGCATAATTTTTTTTCATCATTTTTTTGTCTTTTTCGAAAGTGCTAGTAGCAGTGAGAGTAGTAGCTCATGTGGGGCATTCTAAATTTCTTTCCTAGGTCAATATTGGATGATATTTTGGAATTGGCTATCCACGCTTGGCTTTTATCACGAGCTTTGGGCTCATATTTTGAAATTTATAGGCCTGCTTTTAACTTGTCCATGTCCATGTACTGCAGACTCTGTATGTCCTCGGATCCGATACGTTTTAGTACCTGTTTAAGGACTTACAAACCAAATTAAATGGCAGTGATGACTACCACTAAGTTCCCCATAACTTTCTAGGGCATTAGTGCATGTTGTGAGTTGTTTGATATGGTAACAAACACATTTTAAACATATGCTGTACGTGTAAAGTGTGTAGGGTGTTCCTGCTTGGTCGGACGCACGTTGTTCAGCATGGTGGAGCTTGGTTTGGCCGGCTACGATAGAGTCCGTGGGGAGCCTACTGGCACGGCGTAGCACGGCGTGGGGGTCCTGGGGGAGTCCTGGGGGAGTCCTGGGGGAGGGGCTCCAAGCCTTATCCGAGGTGGTCCATTAATGTTTCAATGTCTTAGCCCGTCGGATGGACGCCAGACACGTTGCCTCCCGTACCTGCCACCTGCCAGACACTGTGCCAGACACTGCCATGGACTGTCTGGACCGTCATGCCGGCGTACGGAGTGGCGGACTTCGCACTGGCAAATGAGCCTTGTCCCGGGCAGGGCCTCGCCTTGGCCCCGCAGTTTTCTGCAACCCAGCGGTACCCATAGTACCTCCAGTATACCCACCCAGTGCACCGGATTGCGCGTTGGTGGCAAAAAGTAGCATCTCCCCTCCACGCCCCAAACACCTTACCCCGCCCCCGCCTCAGCCAACAAAGGAGCCCCCCCCCCCTCCGGACAGCCTCTATTATTTTTATTTTCCCCGTAACGTCTGCGGCAGCAGGACGTAGTGCCGGGCCGGCTGCCTAGTGCTGCCGGCGATTACTCGTTTTCGATTTCGGTTGGCGCCGCCGCTCCGGGCTCCCAGCTTGCCTCTCGCAGCCTCCGGGCAAGTCCCTCGGGCCGAGTCCGTGCCGTGTCCTGGCAGTGAAACGAAGTAGGGGGCCTCCGTTGGGGTGCGAACCCGCGACTGGCGAGGGGCCGGTGGGGCTGGCCGCCCTCTGGGGGGCCCCTGGCCGGGGAAGCCCGGAACTAGTGTCGGAGATTGTGGGCTGAGGGGCAGAGGGCTCCACTGGGGCTGGCGGGGCTGGGATGAGGGGCGTCGTCGGCAGCACTAGCCGTGGTCCACAGCCTCCGCGCCGTGCCGTGCCCCTGCCCGTCAGGTAGGGGGCTACCTGTGCCTTCCTGACCGCAGCGAGCGTGCCACGGCGTGCCACGGCGTGCCACGGCGCGCCCAGCCTCTAGAGATTCGGATGGATCGCCGCTTTGTGTGTGTGGCGTTTCATTCCTCTTCCTCGACGCGGCCGCGCGATGACGTACCGCCTTGGAGCCTATCTCCATGGTGCCTGGGGTTGGGACTGGTCGGGACTGTCCGGGACTCGCTCGCCAGGCAGGTCCAGCGGCAGCGGACTGCGGTGGTGGTGGACGGCGAGGGCGGCGAAGTGGACGGGGCCCTTGTCGGCCACGGCCCGGCCACGGCCCCACTCGATGGGCTGGCCTTGGCCGCCATGCCCGCGACGCGTACCCGCACTGCCTGCACTGGATAAGGGAGCGCGGGGTTGTGGAGGGGGGGGGGGACCGGAGGGGCGACCTTGGGGGTAGTGGGGCGCAGTGTCAGCTGGGCTGCAGGCTGCAGCAGCGCCGGCGCACAGGGGACGCCGCGATCTGGCCGTCACGTAACTGGGCGCGAGTGTGCGCGCGTCGGTGTGAATTGTATGGGGAGCCTGTTTGCGTCTGTGTGTGTGTCTGCCGAGGTTTTTCATGTCGGAGGAGCTAGTGGTCCGACAGGTGCCGCTTGAGGCGGAGAAGAGAGATCGATACGGTACCGTTTCTTGACGAGTGCGTCCGCAGCGTCCGCCGTGAAGGAGTGTGTCGGTCGCGGCGGTGGAGGGGAGGGGAGGGGAGGGGGCGGACGGCGCCGCGGGGAGGGTGGCGATCTTCCGGCAGCGCACCCTCGCTGGAAAGGGGGCGGCTGGCTGGCTGCCATGCATTGTGTACGCTGTTCGGGGTAAACTGTGGGGACGTTGCGTCCGCCCGACCGCCCCGCAGCGCGGAGCATACTGCGGACGGGCGGACGGACGGACGGACGGGCAGCTGATGGATGGCCGCGAGGACGCGAGGACACCGCCTGGAAGACTAGAAGAGCGGAGCCACGACGCGGAGCTACGCGGAGCCAGTGACTGGCTGGCAGTGCGGGTTGGCACCGCACCGCTCGCACCGAGGGGCATTGCCCGGCTGTGGAGCAGCCCAGAGCAACGCAGAGCAGCGCAGCGGCGCAGCGTCAGCCCGCCACGCCAACACACGGCCACGGCGGCCACGGCCCATGGCCACCAGCAGGCTGAGCTGAGCCTGGGCCGGGCCGCGGCGAGGCTGCCAGCGAGGGGCATTAGCTCCGACATTAGATGCACACGCCCGGGTATTCATGTTTTGAAGCACTCTGCTGTATTGATATTTGTCCAGCTTTGCAGCACAGGCCTTCGGCACGCGTGTCACGTCGCAACGGAGGCGATCTAGGGGGCGATGCACCGCGAGTCGTCGTGGTCCCTCTAACTGGTGCAGCGGTCCGTCCGTCTGGCCTGGCGGCGGTGCGCGGCTCGGTGCGCGGCGGCCGGCTGGCTGTCGGCGGCTAGCGACCCTGTCCGTCCGTGCTTTGCTCCGGTTTCGGTTATCGGCCTGCCGCGGCGGCCCGGCGGCCCGTGGCGGCGAGTGCGTCATAATCCGGCCGCCGTGGCCGCGCGCCGCGCCGTCAGACAAAAGAGAGTGACGAGACAATGAATGTTGTGGCACAGTTCGACCGGCCGGCCTGGGCGAGGCTAGGCGAGGCGTTCTAGGCCCCGGCGGCCGGGCCAGCCTCCCGGCCGGTCACGGGTCGCCTGCCATCGGGAGCATGAGGAAGTCCTGCGCCGCCCTGCCCGTCCGTCTGGGGAAGGGGTGCCGCGGCGACTGGCGAGCGCGTCGCCGTGCTCGGCACCGGGGGGTGGTTCCCGTGGGTTCCCGGTTCGCTCCCCTCCGGGTGCCGAGGGCGTGGCCGGCGTGGCCGCAGGGCGTGGCCCGTGTCGCCAGTGATGAGTATGAGTCACTGATTGGGGCTTCCCTCTGCCCTGGCCGTCCTGCGTACTTGCGTATGGCCGGCCCAACGGACCGGCCTCGCCATCGTTGCACAAGTTGCTTTCCATAACGGCCATTGTTGCGAACTGTGCCGGCGAGAGCACGATCGGCCGCCTCGCCTTGACGGGGAGCTGTCCGCCGACCTATCACGAAGGTGTGTGTGCCGGCGCGGCGGCACGGCGGCACGGGCAGGCCAGCCGCGGCCAGCCGGTGCAGCGGCAACGGCAAACTGTTTGGCGCCGAAATCGCGGCCGAATCTTTACCGCCCCGCCAAGGGACCGTGACGAACGCCCTGCCGCGTTTTGTCCGTGTTTTATCTCGATGCAGAGGCCCGTGTCGCAACCATTTCGGCAGAGGAGGCGCTCTTCGGGATTCGGAAGCCGCGAGGCCGGGGGCCGCGAGGGCACTCGGTGCAGCCGCGCCTGCTTCACGGCGATGGTGCACTCGGTGTCCATGCAGCCGTCGTCACGCGTACTGCCACACTGTCACGCTCTTGGGCGCCGTCACGCCCGTGCCGCCCGTGCCCGGGCGTGCGTCACGCGAGTGAAGGCCA